ATAATAATATATAGTTAGATTATTAGAGCCCGGCCTAGGTTAGAGTAGATTAATAGCTTTCGTTATATTATTAATATAGATAAGATAAGGATTATTTAAAGGTATCTATTTCTATACTAATTACTTCTAAGCGTTAAGGTTTTAGAAAACTATATTATAATTATTACTAATTTATATAGATTCTTATAGATTATTATTATTACTAGCTATATATACTACGAAAATTAGTAAGCTATATAAATCGTAGTAAATTATAGTAAATTTATATAAATCTATATCTATAAGAATTAAATAATATATCTAATAATCTAAAAAACTCTATAATAAGTTATAAAGTTTTTTAAGGAAAGGAATATTTCTAAGAAAAGATTTTAATATAGATAGTATCTAGGCTTATCTAATTATATTACGTGATACGCTAGGCCTAATTAGGTAATTCTATCTATATAAGAATTTAGAATAGATAAACTCTAGTTTATTAGAAAAACGCTTATATAAATCTTAGATTAGCTAGAGTCTATATATATCTAAGATAGAGTATAGAGAATAACTAAGGTCTTATAAGACTTAGAATAGGGATATAGAGATAGGTAATAATCTAGGTTACTAAGGGTAGCTTCCTAAAGAAAGGGGATAATTATTAGAATCTAGTCTTAGGTATAACTATATCTATATATATCTTAGCTAACTTAGTTAGGAGGTAGTATAATAGGCGGTAAACGGTTATATACTAAATAGATCGGCGTCCCTTTATATATATACTCTTAGATTTCTACTAAAAGAGTTTAGTAGTAATTTATTCTATGACGGAATATACTCTATTATTCTATCTAACTATACTACTATCTAATAACCCTATTCTTATAGGTATTTACGTTAATTAGAGTCTTTCGACTATTATAGTCTATTATACTAAACCTCTTTAGAATACGTTAAGAGTAAGTCTTCTAAGAAAGCTTAATTTTACCTTCTTATAATTAATCAATTTTAATACCTAGAATTAGGCGGGCTTTTCTAAGGTCTTTACATTTTATATAGTTCGCGACCTTATATTTAAATTATTATATATATAAGCTCTCCCTAATAAGTAGAAGATTATCTATATATATAGTAATAATAATATATCTAATAAAGATACATAGGTTAAACTATAATTATTAAAATTTAAGAGATTAAAGGAGGTTATATAAGGTATAAAACCATTCTTAACCGGACTATTTTAAGCTATAAATTACCTTTTATAACTTAAGGATCTTACCTGGTTTTTTAAAACCGGGCGGGTATTGCATATAGATATTTTTAGATAGACTACTATTTAGATAGATAGTATTAAAATTAATCTAGTAAATATATTTATTAAATTATACAGCCTATTAGAGTATAATATAAAGAGAATTATACTTAATAATAGGTATAAAAGTTTTATTATAATTAAGACTGTATTTCTACGTAAAGCTCTATATAATAAGATATACCTTATAAACTTTAGTATTATCCGTAGTAGTCTTAATATTAAACACCTATCTAGAGCTAACTATTATAGGGATATTCGTAGTAAGCGGAGCTTTCTACTATAATTAATTAATCTTATAACTTCTTAGTTCTCTCTTAATAGCTATTTACTACTAATACTAATTAGAAGAATTTCTAGCCTCTTTTAAATTTAAAGGAACGTCTATATTTAAGGTAGTATTAACTAATAGAGTATAGATTATTTCCTTCTCTTCTATATCTATAAAATTTATAGAGTTATTAAAATAAATTATATACTTATATTTCCTTCTAAAACGAGATATATTAGAAGGTAATCTTAACGGATATAGATTTTTATAAGGTAGGTCATGGCTAGAGAAAGATTTAAATTTTAGTTAATTTACTCTAGGTATAGTAGAAGACGTCCTACTATAAGAAAGGGTAGATAATCTTTATTAGAGTATCTTAGTAAGACTTATTATATTATCTATATAGGGTTAGAGATTCTATATATTTTAGTCTACGGCTAGTATATTATAAGATACTCCCCTATTATCCGACTCTTCTTTAGAGCTATCTCTTTCTATAATAATTAAGGAAAGAGATTACTATAGAAGTAGTCTTAGATTAAAGGATATAAAAGTAACGTCTTATAACTCGATAATAATCTTACGGTTAGAAATATAGTACGTATAGATTTTATCTAATTTACTATAGCTAACTAGAATACCTTTCTCTAATCTATAAAGGAGCTTACTACCTAGCTTTTATACTTCTTTTAGAATATATATATAGTAGATAACTCTAAATAGATATAAGTTTTAAATAGAAGGCTTCTTACTAAAGAGAGTATAATATAGCGTATTAACTATTAGAAAGGAAGTATATAGTATAATATTCTTAACGAATATTATTATATAAATAGCTTTAGCCTAGAACTTTAACTTAGTATTAGAAGAGAGAATAGATCTTACTAATATCTAAACTATATAGTTAAACCTTTCGGCTATTCCGTTTAACTTATAAGAGTAGATAGAAGAGGTAATATATATAGTACTAGTCTTACGAAAGAAGTCTTAAAGACTTTTAGTAATATACTTACCGCCTTAGTTAAATATAAACTCCTTAATACCTATATTAAATTACTTCTTAATATATATAAAGAATTATATAATAATATTAGAAGCTTCTAACTTATACTTTATAAAATAGATCTATATAAAATAAGTTAATTCTTTAATAAAGGAGATATAGTACCATAACCTATTTAGAGACTTATATAGTATCTTACTAGAGAGATTACTATAAACTCTACTAAATAGTATCTTATATTATCTATTTAAGCTTAAAGGCTTCTTATATATAGATTTAGATATACTATAACTCTTATAGTAGAAGTTACTTAGCCGCTTAGAAATTATATTAAAATCTTTATAAAGTCTTTTAGAATTTATAACGTAATAATAATCTATAGTATAATAGAATTCTTTATATAATATAAAGTATACTATAGTATATAATAGAAGCGGAGGAGATATATAGTATAGGTAAATCTTTATAAGGCCCTTATAGAATTTTATCTATATTACTTTAGATCCGTAGTAGTTATATAAGAAGAGGTTATTTCCTTTTACTCTTAAACTATACCCTTAATTTCTAATATATAACTAGAAGAAAAGATATATAGAATTTAGTTACTTACTAAAGAGGATATTAGTAAGTTTAACCTTTTTTATAGAACCGTCTAAGAGGATATAATCTAGGAAAACTATTCTAATACTATTAATAGAAATCTTCTTATAATTTATAATTAATATATTACTAGAGGTATACGGTTCTAGTAAGGTAAAGTCATCTATATAACCCGATATATATTATAATATATCTAAATTAAAGATCTAGTTATATATGCCTATAGTTATATTAGAATTCGTAAGAAGTCTAATAGCCTTAATACTTAGGTCCGAAAATATTACTTAAATAAGAGGCTAACTTACTATTTAAGATTACTTACTATTTATATTAGCTATAGTTATAAAGAAACTAACAACGTTATTATTAGAGTTAGAGTTAGATTTAGAATCTAAAATTTCAATAACTTTAGCCTTATTAGCCTTTTATTACTTACTTAAGGAGTCCTTTTTAGAGAAAGACTTAGAAGCCTTCTTACTTTTAGACTTATTATCTTTCTTAGAGACTTTAAGTTTATAATAGTCTTAATACTTATAACCTTTAGAAGAGAAGCCGCGTTTCTTATACTATATATATTTAGTATTAGAGGTAGAGGTAGAGATAGAGGCGGAGTTAGACTTCTTTAACCTAGAAGGCTAACTAGACTTACCCTTATAACTAGCCTTATACCCTATAGTATTAGGCTTAATACTATATTTCTTAGCTAGGTTAAGTATCTTTAGCTTAATATCTTAAAAATATAATATATCTTAAGTTAATAAATTATTAATAATATAGTCTATAGTATTAGATAATAAGATAAGAAAGAATAAGCCCTTAATCTCTTTAGACTTAAAGATTAGACGTATTACTTTTATAACTATATAAGATAAAGTAATATATCTTTTTACTATTTATATCTAGGTATAATAGAAATTATTAATATATTTATAAATATCTTCTCTATCTTTATAGTAGAGGTTAGTAAGTAATCTAAATAGATATATTAAAGAATTATTAATATTACGGTCGAAATATAATAATAGGTAATTCTATATAGCTACTACTATATTATAGGAAGTAAGACCTATAATAAGATCTTAATATATTAACGAGAGTAATATAATTATTATCTTATTATCCTTTATATTCTAATCTATTATATCTATATATAAATCTATAACTCTAGTACTAAAGGGTCTAATAACCCTACTAGAGACTATTATCTATAATTATATATATTTAAATATAATTATCTAAGCTAATCTCTACTTAGGGAAATTTTCTTCTCTTAAAGATAGCTTAGATAGAGAGAAGGGGTTAAGTTTAAAGTTAATAGGTATATTTATTATTAATAAGTTCCTTAAGTTCCTTAAGTTCCTTCTCTTTTCTTTATATAGAACTAATAGTTTCTTATTCTAACTCTTTCTACTTATTACTTATTTATAAGGAAGATAGTAAGGGTAAAAGAGGTAGAAGGATAGTATAGAGAATAGTAAGAATAATATAGAGATAGAGAGTTAATAGAGTAGTAGAATTAAAGTAAAAACTTTAATAAGATTAATATAGAAACTTAAAGTTTAGAAAAGGGACTTATTTTTTATTAAAGTATAATAGTTTTCATTAATAAAGAGGTATTTTAAGGCTTTTATAGTAAAGCGCTAGACTTATAATCTATTATAAGTAGAAAGTAGATATAATTAAGGTTATTAAATATATTCTATAATTATATATATAAAGAACTAAGTTCTAGGAGATAGAGTCGAAGCTATTTAACCGTTTAGACACTAGTCCCGTTTGGGAAACAGTGTTCCTCACTCAAAGTGCCTTCCGACAACAACAGTGACATCATCCGAATGATCGATGAGAACATCATTTGGGGCACTGTATACACACGACACTCTAGTAAGCTGCGCCTCATTGGAGCGGGCTGGCAGACGAGAATCGCTCTCGAATTTCGGCAGAAGACGCGCGTACACAATGGCAGAAGCGCTTTACGAAGATTGAAGAGTGGGTGGCGGGTGGTAGTGGGGGTCGATGGCTTGGTAAAAGCCCTGATGGTCCAACGATGCCTGACTTTGCGTTGGCTGCTAATGTGATATACATGAAGCAGATGTATAATCGGGACCCATTGAAAGGATTTGCGAGACTAGAACGTTGGTTTGAGGAGTACATGAAGCATGAGGACTACACAGAAGAGCCTATAATCCCGGATCATGTTCGAATTGGCGATGATTTTGAGTACTAGATATGTTCAAGCATATTACGAGATACGTTCCATATAGAAGACTTACCTCCCTATATTCCTTACATGATCTATGATGTATGGGTCTCCAGAACTGCATAAAGAGCCTTTTTTGCCGGCGCGTATGATACGTGTCTTATCCTCTGCCTTTTAGATGTCAACCAGGCGCAGTAATGGGGATACTGACAATTTTGGTGAGCATTCTGTTTTTCATTTGTATTCGTTCTTAACTTGTTCTACGCATGATAGACCGACAGCCGCATCTGTTTTTAACAGCTTGAATTGAAAATACCTTCAATTACCTTTAATGTCAATTGAGACAGACGTGAGAACAGTGTCGCACAGAGAGGTCCATTATGTATATGGCTGAATGACCAGTGGTATGTGCTATGCTCTTTTGCGACCTACATTCAAGGTATCGTAAACCTTTCCCCTTCGTATTCCATACTAAGGGCTGGGAATATCAACATCGGGTACAAGAAAAGCTAAAGAATCTGTCCAGCCTTGTGGGGGCTCAGTCCTGGGATGCTCTTGTTGTTGCCTTGTTGTTAAAAGGCCGCGAGCTGTACTTGTGAAGTGCGAAGAGAGCAGAAAGCATACTGCAGCTCTTCTCGCGACAGTCGCGATAGAGGGTATAAAAACTACAGCACGAGGGGGTCTTATAAAGGCACTGATCGCTACCATACTAGCACTCTCATTCCTAAAACCACTGATATATACCCCTAATCACTGTGTAATCTTATAACAGCTTCTTAAAGATATCTAGGGTCATATACTAGTTACTAAGAAGAAGAGAAGATCTATATGTAGTAATAGCTAGTGATCTGCAGATAACCCCTTGGATATTATCTTTATTATAGTATTGCGTCCTGCCGCGCGGAGATACATCGGCGATCGGTGACTTTCTGAACCTGGGGCCTGGGCCCTGCTCTCAACTCGCGTAGTGTCGTTCGTTATATGGAGTAAAGTAGGTGTAAGACGGAGATCAATTTAGGCTTAGCGTCATTGTACTGTGTTGAGCCGACGTCGATCCGACAGACTGAACCGTGCGTGCCTTTTCGTCTATATAAAGGCGGTTGCCCTCGCGGCTGATTTCAAAACTTCATACTTACCTTCCTGACTGGGTCGTTGCTCACTAAGAACGTCCTGGTATGGGACCTGCCTGCATTGCACATCGCGGAGTAGGACCTATATGAATCTCCTTCGGGGGCTTCATTGGGGCAATTTTTGCTGGCGTCCCATTGTGACATCTTTTCATTACTGCTCGGCCCTTGTGCTGTAAGTTTGGGAGAGACTGTGTCAGGTCGAGCTTTGAGGGATATCTAGTACTCATTGAGATACCTAAATGGACGAACTGCATGAGCATCATAAAGTTGATCGTATATGAATCTGATACTATCCAAGGTAGCAAAAGACTTGACTCTTGATAAACAATTCCACTGCTACCAAGTGCTGATACCGCGATCTGGATTCTGCGTACATCCATCGACAGCGTTACTTCATACTCAGTCTTTATTTACATATCATTCATTCTAGGCTTTTATAGACGAACCTTGCCGACCAAGTAGTTGCTCCTACTCTACTCTGCTCATTTATATTCAAGAACATCAGAGCAAGGTTGAGCTTTCAAGAGCTCGATATCATACAAAAGAAAATACCCCATCAATGAGCGACATATACATAACCACAAATGCCGCCAATCATATTTACATGCTCAATTCGTACAAGATGAAGTCATTGTCAAGAACTTGTCTGCCCAAGCTTGCCTTTTTGCCACTTTTCACTTGTATACCGCCAACTCTTTCGAAGTCCACCGGTGAAGATACCCTTTACGCTTTGCACAGTGCTTGGCCACTTGACTGTTTGGACAACCGATGCACGAACTTTCTCTGCGATGTCCGACTCCATGCTTATCTTCTGATCAAACGGACCTCCGACAGGTTTCCTGACACCGCCTCTAGCATCTTCATCTTTTGATGACTCAAGCATGGCAGTGAATTCTGCACCTGGTATCGAGAACTTCTTCTGGTACTGAAAATAAAGTTTCTCGCGGAAGGACTTTGGTAGGCGGCGGACCATATTACCACGGAAAGCAGGCTCCATTATTTGTGTCATCTTGAAGTCGGAGACCAGTGGTAGTGTCTCCCAACGTGGATTCGAAGATTTGAGTCTTTTGTCGTCGTAGTGAATGTTCGGCAGTTCGTAGATTAAAGAGGAGTAGAGCTGCCTGAAGGCTCGGAGTTGATGTGTGACAATGTTTTGTATTTTGTTAGGATGCTCTGATCCTACATTCATACGTGGATCGCCAGTGTATGAAAGCGAAGCGATTGTGGTGTATAGATCATGTTCCGTGAAGGTCTCTGGGAGCATCAGTAATGCACAACGGACTGCAGCCATCAGGTTGCGTTGATTCGCGAGGCGTATATTAGGGTCTTCAGTAAGGATCTTGACAGGCTTTTGTAATCGTCCGGCGAGGTACAAAGTATCCCATTCAGTCAGATCACGATACAGTGTATCCATTTGTACCACGCCATACTTGATCAACGTCCCATTTATCGTTATATAGGGGTTGTAGTAGGCGCCAGCGCCGAACTTGTCTTGCACATAGGACACCGCACCAGAGCCTAGAGAGCCGAGAAATGAATAGTGGTCGCGGTGTTTGTTGAGGTTTAGAGAATGGAAATGTTGGGAGAACTTGGTGGCCAGGATAAAATCAATAACTTTTCCGCCGCCTTTCTGCCATTTTAATATAGCTTCGGGTGGGTTCGGATGAGGACTCAGGTCGACTCTGGAGGCGTTTCCTTCGCTTTGTGGGAACACTCCAGAGCCATACGCGAACGCATGTGTGATTTGTGGGAAGTTCCTCAATATTTGTCTCAAAGACTTCTTGAACTCCTCATTCGTCTCCATGACTTGATTTTGACCGAAATCCTTCGAAGGCAATTGTCCGAAGCTCTCCAGCTCTTTATGTTCCCCATCTTCCCAATCTGATGACGTTTCTCCTGATGTGTCAGGGTATTGTGACGATGGAGAGCTCTGTGTAGGGCTCTGTGCGGTGCTTAAAGAGCTTTCGCTTTTAATAGAGCTTGTACGGCTGGAGGACGATTGTGAATAAGAGCGGCTGTCCCTGCTTGACTTGTGCGAGGATACTCGAGATGCAAACAAACGGCGAGGTTCTAATTGATATCGCGGATAGCAAACTGAGTGACTGACGACAACCCGGCGCCAAGCAATGACAGCCTGGGAGCTCCGCGGGGTCTGTAAACAAGAGCAATTAGCAAGGCCGCGGAACTGTGAAAGCTAGCAGGATTGCACTCACAACTGGGGTGGGAAGAGACATGATGTATCGAACGTGATGGGGCATGTAGAGTCCTGGCGAGTTACCAAGAAGGGCAGAGGGCAAGAAATTAGTCAAGCATGGCAGCAGTACCTGGTACCAGGTACCGATTCAATTGTTATGACCGGGAAAGTGCGCATACGTAGCTTACAGAAAATATGCCTAAAATTTATGGCAAGAACTGGAACTGGACCGAGGCCAACCAGCATGGAAGATGTCAAAGCATCACGTGTTCAGGCAGTCAGGCTTTCACCAATTCGATGGGACCGACGTCAGGCAGCAGCATTCTAGCCCAGCAGTCTTTTTCCAATAGCCAATCAGCTACCCACTAGCGCGGGGCATTGCAGACACCATCATGTGAGAGCGCGCAGCTAGCGCCTTGGCGTGACATCGCGACTTCTTAATCCTCTGGCGAACGAGTTAAGAGTAACTTCCGTTAAGAAACCATTGGAAATTTGGCCCTCTTGGAATTGCTCAAGACTCTACACAAGTGAAAAGCTCTCAATTCTCCTACATTTCCCGTTCTCAGAAATTAAAAATCTGCACTGTGGCGTCTGCAATTCGCGGCCAAACCTCACAACAAACGCGACGTGAACCAACAACAACAACCTCAATCTCATCAACATTTCATCATGGCCGGACCTGGTGATATGACTACCCTTATTGGACGTCTTGCCTCTTTCGAGAGTGCTCAGCAAGTGCCCAAAAGACGCTCCTCCTCCACCCGTAAGAAGGCTGCGGCCGCTTCAACCGTGACGTGGCCTCATTCCTCACCAGCACCTGAAGAGCTTGCTCATGCTGGATTCTATTGGAAGCCACTACCAGACTGCCTTGATAACGTCAGATGCTTTCAGTGCGATGCAAACATTGATGGCTGGGAATCTACTGACAATCCTACTGATGAACACCTCGCCCTCTCACCTCACTGTGCTTGGGCAATCATTCAAGGAATTCGTATGCGCATCGACAATGCAGACAGAGTCGAAGATGATCCGATGTCGGAGGCTATGCTTGAGGCTCGCATTGCAACCTTTGGAGGTCGCTGGCCATATGAGAAGAAGAAGGCCTGGAAGCCTAAAACTAAGAAGGTAAGCAAGATAAACAACAACAACAACAAAACAAAGCAACCGACTAACAAACCTTTTCAGCTTGCCCAAGCAGGCTGGTTCTACGACCCAAGCCCTACTGATCCTGATGGCACCTCTTGCGCATATTGCAGTCTCTCTCTCGATGGCTGGGAACAGAAGGACGACCCTGCGGAAGAACATAAGCGCAGATCACCAGACTGCCCTTTCTTTGCGATGACTGAACAGAAGAAGACTAAAGCCGGTCCCTCGAAAGCAAAGAAGCTCTCCACCGCATCTAGCCGTGCCTCCCCTACTCGTGCGGGCACCAAGCGCACCCGTGACGGCACTCCAAAGGAGCCAACTCCAGAGCTAGACCTCTCATTCAACATTGATGAGCTCGATGGCCAGTCGTCGGACATCATGTGTACTACTCCACAGCTGTCTTGGACTGCCATCGACGTAGAGAACATCATGCTCATGGAGCCGATTAAGAGCCGATTTGAAAATGTCGTGGGTGACATCAGAAACCACCTTACCGCGGCTGAAAAAGCAATGACCGTCGCTGAATTCGTGGAACACACTGCAGAGATTGCTGAAAAGCGCTTTTTGGAGCAGGCAGAGAAGGCTATCTTGGCCTTCGAGGCGGAAGGATTGAGAGCCATACGTGTCTTGGAAGGTTTGAAAGTGGTATGAGGGGTCGGTTTTGCATAAATTTTTGGGCAGGGCGCGTCGGTTTAAAAGATACCCATTGTAGCGTTCAGCGATTGTAAACAACAAGCATGATATCAACATGTTCATTCACCGTGCACTTGACTATAATGACGTAAGCTACGTATAGATATGCCTATGCAAAAGTTCCTCATGCTTGAAGAGGTATAGTCACGAAAAGGTGGTCTATTTCACGACTAATACCCTGCTACACGTATCATTTACATAGCAAGTCTATATGTAAGTCACACAGCGCACCAGGCAGGTACTTTGAGGCGTACAGCTCTTACGTTGAAATTGTCAGAAAGCTTCGGTTTACCTTTAGTCCGGTGCTAGACTCCCACACCCACTGCCGGCATGTATAAATATAAGTGAAGGTTTGGGACAACGGGGTTAAAGTGGGATAAGTCGAGGTCTTCTCCCTGAGGGAAAGAGCCGTGCTGAAGTGACCGGAAACACCTAAGTAAGGTACGTAACCTTGGAATGTCGCGTTCAGGTTCTTCGGGTCTCGAATGGGGAAACGAGATTGCTAGATAGAAAAAACCGCTGCTGCCCTGACTTGGACAACAACGTCTGTGTCTCGAGGTCTATAACTTTGCATTCTGACTTCGCTATGTGATGGTACCTTGACCGCACGCTAGGGCCACCGTAAATTCTCTCGTTTGCAGATTTCATCATCGCATCTTGTCCTCTTCCCAGGATGTACAGGACTCGTGTCACAAGAGCGCCATGAACACTATTATACATCCTACGAATATGAGAAGGAAGCAAGCAAGCAGAGAGATAGGAGATGCATCAAGAGTTGAAGAAAAAGCTTGACTTGGAATCGCAGTCGGACGGGCGTCATGACACACCTGTAGCCTGAAACAATACTATTCGTGTCTACGCATAAAATGCTCCGCTAATGGACCTACAAACAACCCACGCAACGCCCGCTATGCTAGTCGCAAGAAAGAATCCGACACCATACCAACGATGTTGAGCCTTTTTATTTTCACGTTATCCTTCGCTCGCCAAGTATATCCCCTTCACCTAGCCACCCATATAAAATAGCCCACTCAACAATCTGCGTAGCGCTCTCGAAGCGTTCGTTATCACTCCTATCAGTCCGACGGAAATCCAGTGTCTTATCGAGGCGTCTTAGTCGTCGCTCTAGACGTGCAGCCTTCTGAGATATATGCTCAGCACGCTTGGTGTTGCCGTAATCCTCTTGGGTGAGTGGAGGTGGAGGGAGTTGAGTAAGGAGTTGGTGAAGTACGAAGTGTAGCCAAACTGCGTTCGTCGCCGGGTTGTACCCCTCCCAGGTCTTCGGTCCTCGATTTTTTAATTTCGCAGGAAGTTTCTTGTTGGGCTGATCATAGCCGGAATTCGGATCGTTGGTGAAAAATACAGAGCGCATGTAGCGGTAGATGTCGTATTGGTAGTCCTTCTGGCCGTCACCATCAAAGACAGCAGGGTCCGCATCGAGGTCGAGATATGCAACTGGTGTTGTAACAGTTGTAGAGGGAGCGAGGTCGGCGCGTGAGAGGGTGTAGTCGATTATCGTGGTTTCAAGGTTGGTATAGAAGAGTTTTCCATGGTGCGACGTAGGTATCAGGGGTGGAGAAGCGATGTCGAATGGACGAATACAGATGTTGCCAAGGTGTAAGTCACGGTGCTGTAGTTAGTCAGTCTCGGATTCTTCGTACACTGGTAAGATCAGACATGCCTCAAATCTAGCCCATTCTTCGGCTTTGGCGACGGCCAGGGTCACGCCCCAGAATATATCCCATAAAGCCCAGATATTATCGACCTTGATGTGCTCCAGATCCGTCCCTGCATCCTGCATTTCAATGACAGCCCATAATTGATCCTCAGCATAGCTGATCTTCTTGCTAGGATCTGGGAACTCGCTCTTCTGATGTCTAGGCTGCGCTTTGTTGAACGCTTTCCAGGCACTACAGAAGAATTTGCTCGGTCTCCCCTGAACCACTCTTATTTCTCTGAAATTTGTGAAGCCAGGTGTGGAAGCCATGCGTTGTAATAGTTGAACCTCAGAGGTGACTGACGCTATCGTCGACATCCACGCATAGTCCATCTGGTCCTCCTCTGAAAGAGTGTTCAGCCAGGATGGTTGTAGTGGTATCAGTTTTAGAACCGATTCGTCCGACCTTGTTAGCGACGATGGGCCTGAGACAGACAGGCGATATACTTCTCCGTAAGACGCTTCTGCAATCTTCCTTATATCAAGACGCTCTTCAAGTGACGAGGACCAATCCGTAAATTCGGAAGGGCCTTTTCGGCCTTTAGGGTCTCTGCAGTATTGGAGTAGTGGGCGAGTGTACTCTACATCAATATGACTTGTTTCGATATCCGAATCCGGAAGGCTGCTGAGGCTAGTCTCACTATCCGTATCTTGGACTACAGAAATAAGAGATATGTGTGACCGCGAGATCTGCACAGGTTCAGGACTATCCTCAATTATGCGTCTTGAGCGTGACTTCCAACCCCTCTGAATTGGCGAGCTTGGTGGGGTGCTCTCGATGATTGGGTAAGTTGGTCCTTCGAAATGACTTGCTTCGGATGTCACTTCTGAGTCGGGTTCTGTTTGATCTATAGTATTCCTGTCTTCAACAGCTTGTGACGCTCGCCGTCGTCCTCGGGGTCGCCTTGGTGAGCTCTGTGTTGTTGGATCTCTCTTGCATCTGATCTCTTCTGAGTTCTGGGGGATGCCATGGATGTCATGGTCTGAGACAACATTATGCTTTTGCTGTTCTTCTATTCCTCTCTTCACATGGACTTTTGTTGACTCGACGTCCCTAGCACTGTAATTTCTCGGCCGCAGCGCCTTCCTCCGCCTCTCAGGTCTTTGTTCCGTCTCTTCTCCATCTAATTTCACGGACTCTAACCTTCTCGTAACAGCATCGACATCGTCGGTCTTCGCTAGTGGCAAGCGTGTTGGGCTCGACGAAGCGTTGAAATCTGCTACTTTCGCACACAATGTCTTGTTCGCTTTCTTCCCGTAGATAGCTCTAGTCTTTCGAGGCATTTTGGCTAGCTGGATGGGCCAGTAACGACTGTAGGAAGCTAGGATTGTAAGAGGTATTTCGTGGGGTCGTTAAATGCCTTTATGAGGGTTTTTCCGTATGCGGTTAGGGGAAGATATTTGGCAGGGCAACCATGACCCTGCGACCGTCCGACGACGCCATCGCGCATGTATGTCCATGCGCTGATACTGGTGGACTATGAACGTTAGGCTTTAACTTGGTAACGTCTAACGTACTTCCCAAGAAAGATTCAGAGTACGCACTCTTGCATGGATATGTAAGGATTTCACGAGTCTACCCAGTACGAATCGCTCATCCATGACCTGACGATCACAACGTCTGAAATACCAAATGCAGAGCCATGTCTCTCAAACGTAAAGCGCCCGATTCCTCTTCCTCGGACGACACGTCTGTCTATCGCTCTAGCCCAATATACGACCGTTCTTCTACCTTTGTTGCCGCCTACTCCCCTACAAAAACCGCCAAAGTCCTCCAATCTGACACCAAATTCACCGACGCATCACACCGCATCGCCGCATGGCGGCTCCCATCACGCCAAAAATCTCTTTTCGGCGATCCGACTGCGCATTATGACACACGCTACGATGATGATGGTGAGAAGAACGCTGGAAAGCGCGTCGCTAGGGTACTAGAGAGTATGAACGTAACAGGCGCACTAGTTGTCGCGCGCTGGTATGGTGGAGTTATGCTAGGCCCGGTACGGTTCGAGCATATCGAGAACGTGGCGAAGGAGGCGGTGAACGCGTGGAAGGGAGCGGCGAAGGAGGAGGAGGGAAAGGTAGAAGTGGAGAAAAAAAAACGGCTAGAAGAGATTGAGAAGACAAGGCTGGTAAGAGATCTACCTAAAAGAGATACGAGTATTGGCGTGCTGAGGGGACTGTTGGCTGAGAAGAAGGGGGAGGGGCCGCTGACGACACCGGCGAAGCTGCTTGAGTATGGGAACTTTGAGATTGGTGTTCTCAGAAGACTTGAGAAGGCAAGGGATACGACTATTGCGTGGCTGTTGAAATCGATTGACGAGGCGGAGGCGGAGGCAAAGGCGAAATCTGTGGGAAGTGGGAGCTCAGCGACGGGGGAACTCGGGAAGGCTAGGACAAAGAAGACTGCTGGGGCAAAAGATGCACTATGAGAACTGCTAAACGATGATGTAGACGATGAGTTTGGGTATCACACAGAAGCCGAAGCGCCCATTGTCAACAAAGGAAATACACTTGAAGACGAAGCAGAGCCATCCTGATCTACACTAAACCGTCTAAAGAGCTCTCGTTGCTGTCTACGTGAATTCGTTACCTGAAATCTTCCTACTCAATCTAAATGCAGTCTAGCACGCATTGTTCAGTCCTAGCAATACTCTGTCTGTGTGGACGCAGAAACGGAGCTGGGAAGCACAAGTAGTGAAGAAGCCAGTAGGAGATCGTAGCCTTGGTATCCCCAAACGCCAACGCTATGCAAAACTCCACACAGTCCATCCCCATCCTGAATCATAAGCTCACACCTACTGCCCGAGCTGCGACCTCTTCTCCTCCTCGCCCTCACTATCACTCCCTTCCTCCCACCCATTCAACCTCCTCAACACCCTATTTTCATACTTCAGTTCCGCAATTTTACCCAGATATGGTGTACGATCTTCCGTTTGGGCCCGGAGGGCTTCGCGTGCCAGCTCAGCGACTTTTCCCAGCCCAGCCTGCCAACGCGCATGGTCCAGGCTCTGCTCTAGTCTCTCCTGCCGCTCGGATTCGAGCAGGCTATTGTAGTGGCGGTGAATCGATAGCAGGGCCTGTTGGTGATTGAAAGCGTAGGGGCGCAATTTGTCGAGGATGATTTTGAGTGAGGATTCATAGTCGTCGAGCAGCGCGGTCGAAGTTTCAAGCTCGGCCGTGAGGGCGGCGTTCGTGCGGCGGAGGGCGAGATTCTCGGCTTCAAGAGAGGCATTCTGGGCAGCGAGGGAGTCTGGGTATATATTAGATTGTGTCCCTTCTGGAGTGTCATATTGCAGAGCGTACTGGTGGTCTCGCCGTTGACGTGGTTCGGGGGTGGGAACGCGCCGTCTTCGTTGATGCGAGCCTCGCGCACAGGTTAGTCTCATATATCGCATGATATTCCAAACTGTTGCGTGTCTACCTGAATCTGGTGGATACCGTTCACGAGCGAGGTGTTCTGAGCCCTGTTCTCTGCTAGGGCATCGCTCAGGGTGTTGATGACGGTCCAGAGATGCGTCATATCAGTTTGCTGGCCACTACTGGGCATACCATTCATCATAGGCACATTGCCATTGGCTTGGTGTTGATTCATGATGTGTCGGCGTGCTATAGCAGAGCTATGTGGTTCACCACTGATGTTGGACCTCGACAAACCAGTGATCTAATCTAATCTTTGTAGCGGACTAATCTCGGCGAACGCTGACTGACAACTGCGCTGGTGACGGCAATGTTTTGAACCGTCAGGGTTTGTATATTCCCATATCCTGGTAGCTGCGATTACTAGATTGCATGAGCCTAACAACATACAGCATGGCTTGCTGCGTAAGCCTAAGTCTCAAGTGGTTTTGAACAAGACATTTTCTTAGCCGGAATTTAGGAAAAGCCGTAATCTAACCCAGACATGGGGACTATCAATGTCAGGAGTATCTGGTAGATTGAGCAGATTGACTCATGAAGGACCGAATCTTGCATCCGCATCCGTAAGTGTCAAGCAAGCAGCGTTGGGCGTTTCTTCGACACACTCAAGTCGATTGGTAACACCATAACAGGACCTTCCCTGTACGTAGCTCCCTTCAAATTGTCGATACCGTCCCGTTTCGAGTCACACTGGCATATGACAGTACCCTCAGCCGGAAATGGGCTAGTGCACGTTGGCCTTGATACATGAAACATGCTGATAGGCTGTTACATCGGTGCATTGATCACGAAAGCTGGCTTAAAAGAAAGGCTACGCATTGGCATATTGCTGGAAGCTATTCCCTACATGCGAGCTGAGTCTGATGTGACCGTCGAGATAAATAAAACATGATTCGAGATCTGAAGTGAGAAGGCGTGGAAGAATGCTTGTAAGTGCATAATTTTGTTCTCACGATAACCTGTAATACTAAGATGAAAGTGCTAGTGGCCCCGGATATCACGCAAACGGTGTCTAGCCGAAGGAGGAAGGAGATTCAAATTACCACGTTCATAAGTGGCGTGCTCGGGCCATACCTAAGGATGGATCACGGGCGCTCGAATGAACGGCATGATGACGTAGCTAGAAGAAAGGATCCAGACTGGCAACGAGAGATCCACATCTAACATACGAAAGGATGTGTGTAATCGAGCTTTCAGAATTACATCAGGCTACGGAATACTGGTGTCTTCAAGTCGATGCCATTTACACGAGCCACGGTGCAACGTGACTATGCTATGACCAGCCAAGGCAGTATTACCATGTATGAGTGATCTCCGCTCTGGTCGGTCTCCGGTGAGAGATCCGAGAGTGACAACAGAGTTCACTTGCGGCTCTTCTGAACCTTCATGTGCATTTATATCATGGATCGAGAATGCAGGAAAAAATTGAGATGGCCACATCACATGGTCAAGACTCCCGTCAGATGCCCGAGGTGTTCAAGTCCTGGGCGTTATCCATGGAGTATTCGGGGGCCCCATGGAAGCAACAGAGCGTGTTTTGTATGGATTTCGATCACGAACGTGCAAAAGGAGAAAAGGAGGAATTACTGGAATGAGCTTGGTGAAAGACCATAGCCGTGCAGATTATGAAGCGAGTCAGCGCCACTTACCATTTAGCACTGGGCAGGCATGCTTGAGCCTTGAGGTCGCCGTGGGAGGCGTGGGGAGCGTTGTCAGAAGCATTGGCGAGATAAGGCGGAGCGGGTCAATATATCAGGTTTCCACGGATTGGATAGTCTAGGACAAGCCGTGAGGCTGGCCAAGGGGATGGAGATGATGCGCTGCTAGGCATAGTCTCGTCCATGCAGGAGACTTGCTTGATCGCTTGGTGGTTGCGAAAGGGTCCGAACGTTGATGAGCCGAGACAGGTTGACAGTATGGTAGGGTGACAGGCAGGTCATGAGGATCAGACCGCTTGACACAGCCATAATACAACAACAACACGATAGCCCTTGCGGATGATGTCTACCATGCTGTTGTACCTAATATCAGTTTACGGCACTACACGTAAATAGTGGAAGGACGGCAGGAAACAAGTGGTACGCACGGATAGCCTTGCTTGCCACGGTGGATCATAGCCATCATCCAGGACTCACGATATCAAATGAAGCTCTGTTCGCATTTCCAGTTCGTGTCGCGTGTGTATCTTGTGTGTCTTGCGTGCCGTCTTCGGCGGTGCCCTGTGGGACGCTGGACTTGGTGTGCGTCCATGCAGCCGCCGCCGCCAGCCCAGTTGTTGTTGTTGAGTCTAGGTCCACCGCCCAGGCTCAAGGTTGCGTAGGATGGCCCCCTCCCTCCTGTAAGCCACGAAAAGCCTTCAAAGGACCAACCACACGCTTGTTATCTTGCTGCATGCATTTCTTGCCGACACGCTGGGTTCGTTGTAGGCTGCCAGGAGGGACAGGATACAAAGGATGTGCGAAAGGAAGAGGGATCCCACAGCGGAGTCATGAGAGTCAAGAGAGGGATAGAGAAAGAGAGTGAGGACTCAATCGCCATCTAGATCGGATAACAGTGATTACGGTAACTAAGATATAAGATATGGATGCCCGTCGCTTGACTTCGCTTCGCCTCGTAGTCTCGCATGTGTTGATGGCGCTGACAGGACCACGGCCGAGGACTGCTGCCGTGTTGCTACTTTGATACTAATTACTGAATAACTGAATGCTCGACTGGGTTCCGGGACTGATTTGGACACGAGCAACCGTATCAAGAGAACAGTACTGCTGGTACCATACTATTGATTATACTACTACTATTACTCCTCCGCCTGCTGCCACCAAGACGACAATCGGGACTGTTGCTCCACCAAACGAGTATCGTCCTGCATCACTTCACTCCGTTATACATTTACCGTCCGTCCGTCACTGTGCGGGGCTGTCAGACCGTCAGACCGTCAGATCGTCAGAGACAACAGACACATCACCACCGAAGCCGTTTACCGTAGTCTTTATTCGCACCGCCTGTTGCGCCACCACACGGCCCCCGAGAGAGGCCCTAAACACCTACACCTGCACCGTCGGCGTCTCCAGTGTACGAGGCGCCCACCCGATAACTGCCGTCCGTTGCAGCGTACACACACAGTACAGCATTTTGTTCGTATCTCTGTTGCCAAATCCCTACTGGCCACGCCCTCCAAGGAGAGAGATCCCACTTCCTCCACCAACGACACTTGGCCGTCTCGTGCCCGTCGTCTGTCAGTCTCCTCTTTCTCTCGTCATCCATCGTCCGAATCCTCTTTACATCTCTTCCTTTCATCTCGTCTGCTTCACCACGTTGTTGTCCGATAAACTTCTGCTCTGCACGCTATCGCGCCGTTCCGCCTGCTCGACTTGCATCCCCAGGAGCACGTTCCCCAACTCGACGCGGGACATGGTCCAAGCTGCGCTTGCAGCTAACCGCGCCACTTCACCGTTATATACCCGACAATTAATACCTCCTGCTGCTTGCGAATCGTCTTCATCGTTCGTTTCTCATAGAATACTCCCTTCACCAGCTCACCCCTCTCCGGAGGAGGTGGTGAGCAGTCTTGTGCCTCCGTGACCATGTTCATCCCGAAAAGTATATCCAATGGCGCTCCTCCCGAGCCACGCTCGCGACTCACCAATAATCCGACACTCCTGTTCAGCTGGTGGTGCACCTGCTTTTCTCTCGTCATCATTTTACTGCGTCTCGGTGGTCGTTATGTGCGCATTGAACGTCTGTTCCGAGAGGACAAGGTCATGGCATTGAGTATAATACCTCTTTTGATCCGGATGGCGTGTATACATGTGGTCTTGATCAGTGGGACCAACAACGTCAACACGGCCGGCAGGACCGTTACCGATCACGAGATTGATAGCAGGATGCTGGGCTCGAAGTTGGTACTGGTTGCCAGGATATTCTACGCCATGTTGTACGTCAAACTAACATTCATCTGGGGAGCTTGCACTGACATCCAGCAGTGTCTGGACCGCAAAGTTCACTGTTTCGGAGTTCCTTAAACGACTTACAGAACGATTCTGGAAGAAGAACTATGACGTCGTATTGCGCTGTATCAGAGCCTTTCTAGGAGTTACCTTCATTTGTGTTGTCATAGCTACCTTTGCCGAATGCCATCCTTTCGATCACTATTGGCAAATCGTTCCGGATCCAGGCCCAAGATGTCGCCAAGGCTATGCCCACCTTATTGTTATGGGTGTCACTGATATGATGACCGATATCCTCATCATAGTCTTTCCAATTCCCATCATTATCAGATCGGCAATGGCGCCAAAACGCAAATTTGACCTTGTTATGCTTTTCAGCATGTCAGTCATTCTTATTGGCATAACTGCGGCCAGAATACCCATGGTCATCGATCATCTTGGAAGGCAGCAATATCGCACCGTCTTTGCCTCAGGAGAAATCTTAGCAGCAACTGCTGTTTCAAATGCCGTCATCATTGGATCATTTCTCAGAGATCGTGGAGTGAAAAAGATCAAGAAATACAAGTTCGGCTCTGTGACGGACAGTATGGAACGGACCGCATCGATTGTACGGCCTGCACTAACTGCGCATCACTGGGGCAGCGACGAAGACTTGATACGGGGTATGGGTATTAGGCTAGATCCATCGCTTCATGCGAATCGCAGCAATGGTCCTAGACCTGCACCGATGGGCATGCCAGCTGTACCCGAAGGCGAAGTTGGATTCATCAAAGATGCTTGGACGTTCCGTCACCATGATGGCATTCGCGATAGCGAAGAATCAGATCTGCGAATTATGACTGCGGACCCAAATCCGAGCCCAACAGATATAAGACGTGCCAAGAAGCGCAGTATGTCATTTTTCGATGTTGGAGGGCTATTGGAGGACTCTTCTCTCCCCTCGAGCACTGTAGTTCCTTCTCCGACTAGCACGACTAGCGCTCAGGATTGGGCAACAATGCCACGTAGAGGCTCAAGAGTTCTTCTACACGATCTTGGAGGACTCATAGCGCATCAGAATGGCAACGGTCATGGTACCCCTCGACAAAATCCTCGAAGCCATCCAAGCGATAGCCAGACTTACGAACTAGGCTTTCGAATCCCAGACGCTATAAACGAAACTGGCACATTACCATTTACAGGAACTAGTCCAGGTCCTGAGCCCTTAGACAGCACACCTACCCTGCGTGATGTTGGAGGCCTCTTGGAGGCGGAAACGAAGATTGCTCAGCACAGCCATCCCGTGACTAGTGTCTCCTCCATCACAGCAGTCAACCCTCGCTCGCCGACTTCAGACACCCACCTGTCAGTTCCCGCATCGGCGCAATTTCAACTAAAGAATGGCCCGGATAATGGGAGCGCCCCATTTTCAAGAGATGGTTGAGGGCTACTGAAAGAAGGGAAGCATCTGTGAGAGGTGACCAAAGGTCCCAACTCGCATCAAACCAACTATCACGGTCAGCCTCACGGTTGCGTGCGTTAGCCGGGCCCCAACGTCCTGTCGGCTTGTCGCAAATCGTACAAAACGATCAGCGGCCCGCGACGACCCTTCGTCACGATAATGACGTGTCATATTCTCACTGAATAGACCTGGTCGATCTCGAACATCACACTACCTTGAGGGCTACTCCATTCGGCTCAGTGCAACATCGTGCCTCTCAATGGCTCTTCGACTTCTCGACCTCACTCACTGCCCATCATACCTCCTGTCCTTCATTCATTATGACCCCAAGATAATGACGATACTCATATTCCTCGACCTAAAAAATTCCGTTATCCAACTTTACTCTGCCTTGATTTTTCACCGATTCTACGATACCCAACTTTGTTTACGACGTAATGAAGTACGACACGGCGGGGCGTTTTGGGGGTGCACAACAACGCACAGAGCATGCGGGCCATCAGCCACTTTTGGACCTTTCCACAAGTCCTTTATGTTTGATCTACATTACGCTATATACTCCCATAAAGAGTACATGTATTGGCTGTAAGACTAGCGCCATCTTGACTAGTTTGGATAGAAGAGGCGGCAGATGTAGTCGCATTTGGATTGTACCGCGATACGCCTCTAGGTGAACCTAATAAACAATACTACAACTGAACAGTAGCGTGTGCGAGTAGTACGCTCGCACACCTTACGTTTCATCAAATCTTCTCGTCCCCTTCAATGATGATCACATACCTCCCACTTCCGCCCACCCACTCCCGCCATCCACTATTGAAGGCAGCACACCTCTACAGTGAGTTTGTAAGGGTTGCTCAAAGAAAGATGACAGAAGCTTGCTAGGTCGAGAAAGCACACCGGCAGCGTCTCGTGATATAATTTTTCATAGAATTTATGATTTTTAATCGCCCGTAGAGCTCCAGGGCTATTTATTGTTCTGGATTTAGTCAGATAGTTTGCTAGGTGGGGGTCTGAAGTCAGATTCGGTATAGCGCACTCGTCTACTCTTTATGATCTCCTGATGGAGGTACATTACAGTTGACACCATCAACCCCCTACCTATCTTCAGGGCATACCTTTCAGCGAGACTCTCATTGATTAGAGCCATGCCGTCATTAAAGCCATCCGCATCTGCTGTGCAGACAATCCCATTCCTCTACCGCCTTCTGATCCAGACCATTGAGCCAATATTCACCATCGGGGGGTCCTACGTGGGTCTCACACAGCTCAATTTCTACCTCCACAGCATGACGCGTGGAGCCGTTACACTTGCTCCAAATGCGAACTTTATCGGAACTCAATTGGTTGGAGGATGGATGTTCTTCGCCTTCACCGAGGCCGTGGTCTTGCGGGCCATTGACGACTTGAACGTCTGGCAGTGGATTATCTATGGGATGTTGTTGTCTGATGTCGCATACTGCCACTCCGTGGCACAGGCAGTTGGAGGCTGGGGAGAGTTTGTCAAGGTCCAGAATTGGACGGTGGACGATTGGACTGTAACACTCATGACTCTGCCATTTGTTCTCTCTAGGGTCTGCATTGCGCTTGGGATCGGATTGAAGAAGGCAAAGAGAGAGTGAACTGCGCGTTGCATATATCTTCTTGTTGTTCTCAAGGATCTCAAATGGTTGAAACGGGAATGAAGATTTAGAGATGGGATGGCTACCATTGTAGAAAAGTGCGAGTGCTTTGGGAATATGTATCAATAGTCCCACTTTTATATAGCTACCTGGGCAGGCGAACGCGTTGTCGCCTGCCGTCGTTCTCGTTCCCGTTGCAACCCACCCAGCAACTTATGATTATCTTCTTAAATCAGTCGGTTCAGTCCCATTAGACGTTATTCAACATGAAACTCGCAGTCTTCAGTACCCAGCCCTACGACCAGCAATTCTTCGAGCAATGTCGTGCCGCGAAAGCCCCCCAGACCCTTGAAATAGCCTACCACAGCTTCCCACTGTCAGCCGAGACAGTGGCTCTCGCTAGTGGCTGCGAATCCATTTGTGTCTTTGTCAATGACAATCTGACCGAGCCAGTCCTAGAGAAATTGAAGATGCTGGGAGTGCGCGCTATTCTTCTCCGCTGTGCTGGCTTCAACAACGTCGACCTCAAAGCCGCCGAGCGACTTGGCTTCTTCGTTGCTAATGTGCCGTCATATTCTCCCGAAGCTGTAGCCGAATTTGCTGTGACTTTGGTCCAGACAATCAATAGAAATACTCACCGCGCCTACAATCGCGTGAGGGAAGGCAATTTCGCTCTTGATGGTCTTCTTGGTAGGACGCTCCATGGGAAGACTGTAGGTGTCATTGGCACCGGAAAGATTGGCATTGCTTTCGCTCGGATCATGAAGGGCTATGGCTGTCGCATTGTAGCATACGACGTCTACAGGAACCCAGACTTCGACTCTCTAGGCCAATACAAGACCTTAGAGGAGGTTCTACCTTTGAGCGACATCGTGAGTCTACATTGCCCGCTCATAGACAGCACTCGACACTTGATCAACAGCAGGGCGCTCGCGCAGATGAAGCCTGGAGCGTTGCTGGTCAACACGTCTAGGGGCGGCCTAATCGATACAACAGCTGTCATCCAGGCGCTCAAAAGCAAGCGGCTGAGGGGTCTGGCGTTGGATGTTTATGAGGCAGAGGCAGCGTTGTTTTACAGCGACCACTCATCCGACATCATCCAGGACGATGTCTTTCAGCGACTAATGACTTTTCCAAATGTCATCGTATGCGGTCACCAGGGCTTCTTTACAGAAGAGGCCTTGGCCGAGATCGCGGAAGTCACCTTCACTAACCTCGAGGACTATCGGCATGGCCGCATCGGTCGAAATAATATCATAGGAAGAAACTAGGCGCAGGTCCCGGTCTCAGCGAACAGAACTGTGTTTCCACCCTCCAGCATTCTCACTTCTGGGCGCATATACAATTCCTCACAGTGCCGTGGAGCACAAAGGATTTCGTAACTCATACCAATTAAATGCTTCTTCCTCGAATATCATTCTCATCGCGTGTCGCGTGTCCCCGCAACGAGTTGAGCAGCAAGTGATGAGTTATAGGTACCCAATGATTAGTGGAAGACATCCGCTGCCGCCGTCGCCGCCACCAAATCAGACATCGACGGTAACGCTAATCACTTTATCCCAGATGCGGCAAGGCATTTTCAAGTTTACACTCTAATCATTTGATGAACCCAGACTAATTACCCCGCAAAATATCGTATCACGGGCCTAAAGATCGCCATGTTCTCAGCATACATCGACTTATTTCCGGCTTGCCAGACATCGTGCAGCAATCTCTTGCATCATACTGCACCTTACAAGGTATTTCGCTCTTAGTATTCGACAATAAGTCCAACCTACTTTCTAGTATGAAAAAGCATGCCTGAATCACCAAAGGATCCCAACGGACCATCGGCGCAAAGGATCAAGAAGCGGGAGGTGGACCGAAGATGCCAACGTCTTGCGCGCCAGCGGACCAAGTCACGCTTAGCTACCCTCGAGGCTCTGGTCGAAGACTTTCAGAAGAACGATGAAAGTGGACGGGTGGCCAGTTTAATGAAGCAGATTTCAGATCTAACGACCGATAAAGAGAGGCTGGTGAAGACACTACGTTCTGTTCAGTCTGCTTTAGATTTCAACATTGAAGATGAGGACCAGGATGCACCACAATCGCCAAATGCAGTCCTTAACCACAATGAGAACACAGTCGTTGTGAACATGAACGGACAAACCTACCCGCCAGTCTTTCCAGAGCACGTGAACACACATATTGATCTCAGCCGACGAGACTCAATATCGACTGAGCGGACCAGTAGGACCAATCGAAGACTTTCGATCGCGACCCCAGACTTCGTCATGAAGCAATCCCCAAGATCAGATGTATCCTTACCAATTCTCAATTTTCCGAATGCGTATGGAGCTGTGAGTACACCAGAGGAAGATATCTCGCCTTTGACCGGACAGACGATGCTCCGTGTCCTCAAACCAGTATATAACGTCGAGAAAAATGCTGCTTGTTCGGCCTGTGCGGAACGTACCAACATTTGGCGATACACCAACGAGATTCTTCTTGCTCGTCCAAAGGAAGATCCACAGACAGTTGCCTCTGAAGACAGGCAACACGAAGAGACGCCACTCCTAGCGGTAATGCATGGCTGGCACGAAGTAGAGCGCTTGGGTAAATTGACTCCTGCCTGGAGGCTAATTAGTAGCGTGGACAAGGTAATCTTTGAGGGTCAACTGGGTGCCATAGAGAGAGTGGCAACATTAAGGGCAATACACACGCTGATGATGTATCACATCGATCCGAGTTGGGAAAGGGTAGCCAGGCTACCTACATGGTACTTTCTACGGTGAGTTTGACATTATCATCACGTCGGCGATTGGCGAACCTCTTGAATGTTACTCTGATTATCAGTGCTGATATCCCGTAGCCCATCTCAGACTCTCGTTCACTCCTACGCCACCGACTACTTCGCCTGGCCAGGCGTCCGCGAGCGATTCGTCTTCTCCGAGCACAACTACTGCGGAAACATATTCTGGCAGCTTTTCAACAAGAACCTACGCATCCTTTGGCCATACGAGTTCCGTGACTGCTATACCAAGAACGTCCAGACCGGCGAGCTGCAATTCAGTCTTGACTTTCGTCGACGACTTGAAGACATCAATGTCTGGGCTATGGGGTCCGACTTCTTTGAACGATTTCCAGAGCTGCGAAGCGATATACCACAGTGGAATAGCATCCCAAAACAAGTGGAAGCTGATGGCGATGGAAGAGTGACGGAAGTCGGTACCGCTTGGAATGACGAGAGCGTTGCTGGTGAGGACGGAGAGTCTAGTGATGAGAATGCGGTCTCGAACCAACAGAAATGGTCGCACAATCATGCCGTGCACGATACCAGGCATGCGAATATCAGACAGACTCGCTATGGGGATGGATCAATGACCCTCAACGACATTGTGAATCTGGAAAGGAGTCTGCGCGAGTACGTTTGAGTAAGATGTGCTCGTCGAACATATCATCTCGACCTCAGCCTAGATATGAAAAGGAATCTCAACAAGACAATAAGTCCGTGTCTAAGGGTGAGACTGATATCACAAGAATGCCAGGGAGGCCAGCCTTTTTGGGCTGCTTATTCCTGTCCTCTAGATCAGGTCGGCACGCTTAAGCTAAGGTGCGAGGGAGATCTATCCGTCTTCCTCCACAACAGCAGTCTCTGATCACCGCCACTACCGCACTCACAGAATCAAACCATCATCTCAAAACGCTGGACCCTATGCAGGATGTCCTAGCTAGGCCCGTCATAGGAAACTTGGATCAATAGGGAGATTAAAAAGAATAAGTCCACGACTAATCTTTAGAGGCAGCACGCATCGCATACAGGATATATTGGTGAACCTAGTCCGTTCGATATCAATACCTTTAGATAAGGGAGGGATTGCAGTGGACTGGCGAGATGACTGATAACGGGCAACTCCCAATCTAACGGCTCTTGGCCATCGATATACGTATCTGACGCCGAGAAAGAGACAGACTTGTTCCATGCCTAGGTCACAAAGTTGCAGGCAATCTACCAAAGCACAGGCGCAAGTCAATACTTACGTGTACGCACGAGTTCAAGGAAATGCGCTGCTCAAGCACCACGAGGAAAATATAGGCGACCAGCGATTGAGCCAGAAGCGTCTTATATACAATCAAACTATCTGGTACTACTTCTATATACAAATCCGATCATTTCATATCGAACCGCCCGGTACTCCGAACTTCGTTTCTCGCATAAACATCTTGCGTCACACATATCACCTAGAGGTTTTTGGTCGCAGTCCAGTACCTGCTGCTCTGGTCCCACGCTGCCGTCGGACTAGCAGCCTTGAAGCTGCACTTTCCCGCGCTCCACACCGCTGTGGCACAAGCCGTCTTCTTGTCGCAAGCCTGGATGCAGTCTTCGAAGCTCAGCGTGTACGTGCTCGACAGGTCCGAAGTCTTGGGTGCCGCACCACACTTTACCGTGTACTTACTACCAGAAACAAGCGGGTAACCTGTGCCATCACTCGCCTTGGTCACACAGTCCAGTGCCATGACGGCCGACGATGCAGAATCACTCTGACGCACGCTGCCGAGTGAGCTCTTGAGGAAACACGTGTCGTGGTCGAATGTCGCGCCCACACACCCGGCAGTTCTGGCGCAGGACTGGATGCAATCCTCGAGACGCATGGCGGGTGCAGAGGAAAGGTCGCCGCTGAAGTAGTCCAGGCCGCAGCCGACGCGGAAGATGCCCGCAGCTGTAGGGTACGGGTAGCCGTTCCCCTGATCAGGCTGGCATAAAGAGGCGATGAATACGCGCTTGGCGGTCATGGTGTTGGGGTTTGAGTTGCTCTGGAATAGTTGCTTCTTGAGGTAGCAGGTGGAGCCGTCCCAGACGGACGAGATGCAGGCCTTGTTTGCATCGCACGCGTTGACGCAGTCATTGAGCGTAGGCTGCGGGGATGATGAAAGGTCGCTGTTGCGGTAGTCGGTCTTGCAGAGAAGCTCGTAGAGAATGCCGCTGTCCGAGATGAACTTTGTGTGGTCGTCGGTCGACTGGGTACAGTCGAGGCCACGGGCAGCTTGGCGCGAGACAAGGGGGTTGCGAGGGGTGACGTTGTGCGGTGACGCGGTCACGATGCTTGCGCCGGCGAGGGCGAGCATGAGGGAGGAAGGTACGAGCATTTTAGCAAGTGTGTATAGCGTTCGAAGGAGGCGAGGCTGAAGTGAATGGCAGTGTTTACACTGGTTTCTGGGAAAGGCGAAAGGGATGTGATCACCGCTGCAGTTTCCGCAGTGAGCAGCAGATCATCACCGCTTTATATATCTTCTGCCATGTGTTCTACGGGCTAGGAGAGGTCTCCGAATGATACTCGGCTCGATGCATGTAATCGCATCGTGTTGCCCATTTGCCGCCGTCGGCACTACGTAGCTACCTACGCAATAGCACGTTTGCTCGGCGTGGAAAAGCGTGTACTGGACATTACCGACAATCGAGATCTATAAGCTCTGGGTTCACCTTGGTCCAGCATCTTCTCATCCTTTTCCCACACGAGAAGTTCCGGCGCGAAGAGTTCTTCTTGGGGGCTGTCATGCACAGGAACGCTCAATCTAAGCATCGCACTTGCATCTCACGACCCCTGAATTGGGTTTAGAACGCGTGCAGACGGAGGGGGAGATGCGGGCTTTCGATAGCGCTCATGGCTGTTCCCGCTGAGAACAAGCCATGGGCGTTGTTGGATGAGCTTTCTTTCGAACGGCTAGCAGGCGGCTATCGAGCCGATGTGACTAGTCCGGCAGTGGACGAGAGTGAATGTGGTCTAGTTGATGAGGCTGGACACAAGCAGTGCCGAGAGTGAGATCGTTAAAAAAAGTAAGAAAACGTGGGGTGGAGGGAGTGATGTGCCGAGGCAGATTGATTGATTCACTCATTCATCGACAGCAAAACTCCTTCATCATGAAATGGAACATACAACGGCTTTCGGAGAGACCAGAAACAACAGGAAAGACAATGTACAACAGACGTTGCAGGAACATTATCGATGCCAAATTCCGCCCTCCGCAAAAGCCTCTCCGCTCTTCCATTTCCCCACTAGGTACCTATCTATTCATCGCCGACCGACCGCGCTACCATGGATCTCACGATTAAGCTTCACATGCGGGGCCGCCTATCACAACGCGTAGCAGCCACGTTTCTACGTCTCGCGCGTTTTTGGCAAGTGTTAGACTGATGGCGCCGGTCTTGACGACTGAGTTTGTCAAAGACGTTAGAGGGTGCTTCTTTTTGGGTGTGGGTCTCGCTATGTGGATATAGAACAGCAACACTGTGGAGTCTTTGGGAAGAAGAGTAATCGCAGAATTCCAATTATATGCTTCATCCGGAGGTATTGTGCCGAGGTTTTTTCTGTACATTGCTGTGTTACGGCGCTGGTACGAAGTCAGTATGACTATGAAAAAAATGGAGTTGGCAGCTGTAGTAGTTGAGTTAGTGACTGCTCGTTCGAGAATGCTATTTGCTCTTTATCTCTATCACACATCTCGTCTAGCTATACAACCCCCGGAATATAACGGGCTTGCTCAGCGCTACAGCAACCCATCGATGCGATGCAGAAAGGAGAGGGGGGAACTTCCCGTTTCTCGCTGCTGATAATTACTCACAACATTCATTCTGACTGCAGAAATAGCGGATTTCGCCAGCGGTAAGCAACAAGGTCGTCCTATCATGAATCTATTTCCCCTCCAACGAGACCACCCCCATCCTCAAAGAAGACCTTGCTGGCACCGGTATCTGACGTAGCGTGTGTGTCGACACTGCGATTTTGAGACCACTCTTCGATCGTCGAGGCTCCGTTTGATGCTTCTTCTAGCATCTGATCTGACATCCCAAAACAAGACGGGCATAGCTCCAGAATCTGACAGGCAGGCAGACGGGAGAGGATCAATGATCGCCACCATCACATGAACGGCGCTAGCTAGACACCCTCTCCCGACAGCGGCACATATGCGATTATTCTAGAACTACATAGTCTCATAGTTCCTTCCATACAGCGACAGCCCTCTTCGTCTAGCTGATGGTGAGTATCTGCTGTATCTGCCAGTACAGCCTAGCATCGACAAGATATTTCTATTCCATTTGGATGGGATCATTCGACGGCCTTACGTGGAGTTATAACCATGAATTACAGCTCTACCTATCCATACATATACGTGGACCTCGTTCCTATGAAGTTCATACTCTCTGCTCGGCTATACCTACCCTTTTCCTTCCCCTTGCCATAGGCCTGTCTCGCGCACATGGGGTTGTAAGGTAGATAGGTTGTATCAACATATATCACGCGCTGCATTCCACAGCGAGACGAGGTGTGAGTATTGTGTTTCGCATGCTATAGGGGAGTTGATATATCATACCACGGGAGGAGGAGGAGGAGGAGGAGTTGCATATATTTGTATATCAGATATAATCCCCTCGTGCACAACCGGTATTCCAACTTGCATACATACATACTCAAAAATAACCCTCTACTCCTCCCTCTTCACGCCTCGCACGCAAACAGGAGCGTAGATAAGACAAAGTCCATACCTACTACACTCATCCACCCATCTACCCCTCCATACAAGCATCTCCATCCCCATCCCAAAACAACCCCAAAAATAACCACAAGACAACCGCCCCCCTCAAAAAAAGCATACCACACCTCTTAGAAGGAGTTCGAACACAGAAAGATAAAAGAAAAATTACAAAACATTCAGCAGTGGGGATTCGCTAGTGGTCACCCACCTAACTACTAATCCACCCCTAACCAGCTTAAATAGGCGGGAGCGAACGGGACCGCTTGCTTTCTGGTTGGTATGGCCGAATGTGACAACCTGAGATCGTTGTTGAAATATAAAGGGCTGCCAACTGGAGGGAGGGAGAAGATGTCTTTTATTCTGGGACGAGCGGAGAGAGCTGGTATCTGCGGGATCTGGCTTTCGTCGGGATGGAATAGGAGTTTATGACGAGAGGGTTACGCATTCGTCATCAAGGTATTATCCAGACGCTTTGAATCAGGATTCAGAGGATGCTGAGTGTACGTTTTGGGGCCTAATTACTTCTACAAATCCGAATGTGCAATCCTCTGCACAACGCAGCCAGTCGCCGCTCCACCACCATTGCAAATAGCCGCAACGCCATACTGCCCAATCTCCAGCTGATGCAGCAACGTAACCAAGATCCTGCTCCCGGAGCTGCCCAGCGCATGGCCCAGCGCAATGGCCCCGCCCCTCGGATTCACCTTGTCGTCGCCAATACCCAAGATCTTGCCGTTGGCCTTGATGACCGCCGCAAACGCCTCGTTGAACTCCCAGACTGCAATGTCTTCAATCTTCAGCCCGGCCTTGTCGAGCACGATCGGGACCACCTTTGCCGGCGCGACGGGGAAGTCGATCGGGTCGACGGATGCATCTGCGTATGACACGACACGCGCCAGCACGCGCGACTCCTTGCCGTGCTCGCGCGCGACATCCTTGCTGCCCAGGACCAGCGCGGACGCGCCGTCGCTGAGCGGGGAGCTGTTCGCGGCCGTGATGCTGCCCTTGTCGCTGCGGTCGAACACGGGCTTGAGCGTGGGCAGCTTGTCCAGCTTGATTTTGGTGTACTGCTCGTCCTCGCGGACGATCGTGTCGCCTTTCTTACTCTTGACCGTCACGGGCACGACCTCGTCGGCGAACAGGCCGTCTTGCCAGGCTGCTTGCGCGCGCTTGTATGTCAGGATGGCAAAGTCGTCCTGGTCCTGGCGTATGATGCCGTGCTTCTTGGCCGTGTTCTCGGCGCAGTTGCCCATGTGGATCTGGTTGTAGACGTCCCAGAGGCCGTCGGCAACGAGGCCGTCGGCGAGCTTCTGCTCCCCGAATGCGGGCTGGAGGGATGCGCGGGGCAGGTAGTAGGGGGTGCGTGTCATGCTTTCCATGCCGCCTGCGATCAGCGCCTCGCTTTCGCCGAGCTGGATCTGGCCGGCGGCCAGGGTGACGGCCTTCAGGCCGGAGGCGCAGACTTTGTTGATGGTGGTGGCCTCGACGGAGGTGGGGATGCCGGCGAAGATGGCTGCTTGACGGGCCGGGGCCTGGCCGACTCCGGCCTGGAGCACGTTGCCCATGTAGACGTGGTCGATTTTGGAGACGGGAACGGTGGACTTTGCGAGGGCGGACTTGATGGCTTCGGCGCCGAGTTGGGGTGCGGAGACGGTTGTGAAGGCGCCGTTGAACTGGACAGAGGTGATATATTAGTTGATTGGGATTCGAGAGGATGAATGGAGAGTCCATACCACTCCCGTCGGCGTTCTTGAACCGCTTATGATATAGGCATCGCGAATCTCTTGCTGGACCGGCCGGCTTGTGCTGAAGTGCCGTTGGATGGAGGCCAGACGTTGCTGGGGACGAGCCATTGTCCGCAATGCTGATGTACGAAGAGCGGAGGAAGCCATGGCGAGAACAGGAGACAGAGTTGAAGGATGTAGATATTACGACTTCCAGAGCCTAGTTAAGTTACATGTTTCGTAGCTCTATTAGACGGAGAGAGAGAGAGAGAGCTGGACGATCGTGAGAGCTATAGTGGCGGGGAGAAACGCCTCGGCAATTCACAGATGGCGGGTAGTAGCGGCTTTGGCGGGCCGATGTACAACCAGTAGATAGATACACAGCATGATATGTTTGACTGATTTTGGTGTGCATCTTAAGCGATGAAGTTGTTGTTTACAGAGTCTATCAACTCATCTTCTATCGTTGCAAGTGTTCAATGAACGCATACCGTCGCTCATGATTCGACATATACATAACAGTATACTAATTTTCACATGATCCTAAAACTGCAGTAGAATTTCGTATGTACATACAATAAAAGAAGTAAAAGGTATCTGGTATACCACTTTTGGGCTTCAATCAAGGCTCCATGCTTCAAACGCCAATTGGTGGATCGATCGTCCTCGACTTGCCAATCGACGCCGGGTAAAAAACACGATACGCGATATATTACACATTTTGACTGCTCTTAAAACGTCACATTATTATAATAAGGACCCTTGTGTGGATCGGCAGGTTCAGGGCCTAGCAAAAGTTACTCGGAATTCTAATACCTACCCAGGACATGCGTACCATCAGTCGAGCTCCCCTCGATACTATGCACGTCGGTATAGTCCTTGCCTCTTGGGGTGCGCGCCAGCCTGCTCTCCTCATACTCCACCACAACGTGCTTGCTGATACCATCTTTCAAGACCTCAATCTCGTCGCTTTCTCGGCTGCTGCTGCCGCCCTTGTTCCAGCCGCTGTTGTGCTTGTACTTCTGGTCGTTGCCAGTGATCATCGTCTGGACGCCTCGGTGGAGTTCTAGCTCGTCAAGGTTGCGGCTCGGGGCTCGACGGGAGTGAGTGTGTTTTCCGTAGCTCATGCCGGAGGATGCTGGCATGGAACCCACGCCAATTCGCCAGAGGAAGTTCCTCATTAGGGGCCTGAATGTGGCGATGCAACCGGCGGCTATTCCGATACCAGGCTCAACCGTTGACCAGATGGCTATGCCCAACGTTGTATATAGGAAATCATCTGTCTGCTTAAGACCTTTGACGTAGGGAATCCGGATGACTGTCCCGGTACTGCCACTATATTGCGAGCGTCGTTAGCAAAGTCGATGATCTAGTAGAAAAAGGGGTGTCCACGTACATGGCGGCAAATGCCAGGATTCCAGCCACTAGACCTTTGGCTTTATTCGTCATCTTCAAGTCCCATACAATGAAGAATGGCAAGATGCCGAAAGTCCAGTCAGCGGTTGCGTTCAATGCCCCAGCAGTATAGGTACACGCAATGATTACATTAGTATTCAAGCACCCAGGTCCACCTGGATTGACGTTCCAGAATTGACTGATAGGTTTGCATTGGAAGATAATCAGGAAGACATACATGGCCCCGAAGAGCGATGTAGAAGCCATGACAAGCCGCACAATCCATACGTGAATCTTGCTCGCAGCAATGCGCAACAAGAAGATACCGATGGAAATCTTCAAGAATACGCTGGTCAATATGTAAAACACTTCACAGAAATACCAATACTGTCAACAGTCAGCACGCCTCATTGACTCAACATACGGAGGCTATCCATACCCGCAGCGCTGCCACTGCATCTTCTCTAGGAAGATCCGCGTGGTGTCGTCCCGTTCCATATCTTACTCCTCCTATCTGGCATGCGATGTACATTGTGAAGAGAAGCTAAGTCGAATTAGTTCCAGTTTTATGATTTGCCATCAGCATGTGCGTACCTGGGTCAGAACCATCGTCCAGTCATCAAGACCGAAACTCCTTCATACTATTAGTTGCAGTGAAACTGGAAGAGTGAAGGTATCCAAACATACTTGAGCAGGCGACTTCGAACATAAACCCTCAAGCCGACGCACAATGATGATAGTGTAAGGAAAAAGATGGCAATAGCAAGAACCGGCTGGCTGTGGTTCTCTTTTGGTTGGTTCTCCATGATGGTGTCGTTACGAGACACGTTCGTGGTAGTCCCCTGTCAGCGCACATAGAAGACGAACTAGTGGGAGATCACTTTGACTGAAGGATGAAAAGATGCCAGGCTATGTGCGGACTCGGACTTCAAGAGGGATACGGCCTGTTAACCAAATTGATAAAGGGTTGAATCTCGGAAGTTCCAAGGTTTCGAGAGCCCTGGACTTGGCTAGATATGGAAGCCCATACCATGTCATCCACATATGGGTACATTGGGTAATATTCGCCATCTTCCCCACAAGTCAGCCAGTCTCGTGTCCCGGCATGGGGTTACCGACCACGCGGAGGCCCGAGGGCCGTGGGAGAAATGCAGAAAATAATGCGGGAGCCCATGGACTGTGGATGGCCACATGCTACAGCTCGGCGACTGTTGGCTTTTCTGGATATGAAACAATGGGTAGGAAAGATGGCACGGAGAGTCGTCCAGCCAAAGTAAAGAACTGCATGACCCGAAAGGCCACAAGCTGGCAGCCGAGCTGAGCCTTGTCCTTCCCGGACGGTATGCCCGAGTCAGCAAGGCAACCTTCGTAGTGAGCAGAGCCGGCATGATGGGTACCAATGGCGTACTCGGCTCGGAGCGGAGCGGTATCAGTTCGGGACATAGTGGGTCTTGTTGTGAGTCTTGTTTTGGAAGAACAGCCGCTCGACAGTTCGAAGATCTTTTCCGTGATAGACATGAACCATGAATGTGTGTACGAGGATATGTGATTACCACAGGTCCATACAGTAACAGTAAGAACAGCTCGCGGTTTGCCTATGCGACTGATAGCCTTAGATCTCCTTGGCACTGGTACATTAGCAGCAAAGCAACAAGAGGTTGCCAACAGATTATTGGTAAATGAAGAATTCTTCAACAGCAGAGATTCGATGCGTGGATACTCCGGTTCCCACTCCAAATCCCTGGTCACCTGCACCCACTGGGCTGGGAGAACTGGGGCGCTTGGTTGCGTTCTTGCATGAAGCATCTGCAGAATAAACTTCCAGGATGGCGACAAGGAAGAACCTGCCGTCGTGTGAGACCCAGCGAGTCAGAAGTCTTGACCGTAGCGAGCCCACCAGGCACGCTTGATGATGGATGAAGTCTGAAATGCTTTTCGAACCACGGCGTCTTCAGGAAAGTGGATAGCTGAACTATGTCTAGTCATTGTACTAAAGCGATTAGCTCTGTAAGCCACAATACGCGATACAGAGATCTTCCGCCGACACTTGTGGCGATGTCCATGCTTAATGAAGCTAATTACTGTACATAATAGTACTTGCGATCTGAGACAGTCCCCGAAACGTGTTGGCGCATCAAGACAAGCGGGCTGACCCGCGTGTCATGTCCAGTCCAGGAGGGGACCAGGGAAGATCCAGGGTTGTAATGGAGCGTCGGTGATGGGTCTGCATGAAATGTAATGTGCAAGTGGTGATGAATGTGATGACAGTGAGAGGCATTACAGTTTGTACCTCTAGTTATTGCCAGGGAAGGCCCCTCTTCGGCAGGGAGGTCGGGAAAACAGTTGACCAATCCTCGTGCACAGCCCACCTCGCATAATACATGGATAATGAGACACGGCGTCGGTACCACAACACTACACAACTTAACCTCACCAAGACTCACCAACCACTTATCAGGACGAAAAGATGGCCAAACGCCTCCAAGGTAAAGTTGCCATCGTGACGGGCTCGTCCAGCGGTCTGGGACGTGCTATCGCCACAGCATTCGCTACAGAAGGCGCGCAGGTCTGCTGTGTTGATCTGTATCCAGGCTTGCGCAATGCCATCGACCCAGAGACTGGCAAAGCAGATTCCTACCATAACCGCATCACGACGGGAATTCCCACACATGAGTCGCTGCCGGCGTCTTCCTCGGGCAAGCCTCACATCTTTGTGCGTGCAGACATGACTGTTGCTGGCGATGTCGAGGCTGCCGTGGTCGAGTGTGTCAAGGTGTACGGACGGCTGGATTTCATGTGTAATAACGCCGGGATCACTGTCGAGTCGACGCATACTCGCGTGATGAGAGTGCACGAGACATCCGAGGACGACTATGATAGAACGATGGCGATCAATGCAAAAGGCGTCTTTCTAGGCTGCAAGTACGCCGTTCGGCAGATGCTCTTACAGCCGCGCTCGGACGACTACTACATTGTCAATACAGCGTCTATTCAGGGCCTGGTCGGCTATCTTGGCACTCCATCGTACTGTGCGTCTAAGGGAGCCGTGGTGCAGTTGACAAAACAGATCGCGCTGGACTATGGCCCAGAGCGGATTCATTGCAATGCGTTGTGTCCTGGTTGTACGTCTAACTCCTATTTGTGAATTACACGTGGATGTCAAATTTGATTGAACACAGTCTTGAAAACGGCGATGACCCAGAACCTCCAAAGCGAGCCCGAGATCCTGGCATCTATCAGCGCGGCGCATCCACTTGGAGGCATGGGGAATCCCGAAGACGTGGCACGAGCAGCAGTATTCCTGGCGAGTAGTGATGCACGGTGGATTACGGGCGTTCCTCTCGCAATCGACGGTGGGTATACAGTTCAGTAGTGCATGTTAAACAGCTGGACTGTGAAGCATATATCTTGGCGTGCTTGGCCGATGGTGTGAAGTGCGTCCTCGGAGCGGGCGTGATCGCCGGAGGCATAAATACATGACTCTCTGCAAATTAAAGTCGCTATGAACGTGCTCCAGGGACTGATGCTCCGTGCGGCACGAGTGTTTTCTCCTTGAGACAATCCGATGAGGACTTGGTCTAGACACTGGCCTGATGTGTCATCTTACCCATCATCATGTTATGTTAGGCGACAGTCACCGGTTCAAAGATGTTTCCAGGTTAGTGAGTAGCCATAGACTGTTCGACGCAGCAATTCATCCTGGTCTTGTGTTAGTACAGACAGACGATGCAAACGAGAGGCTGACATACACCAGGATCCTCGTCAAACATGACTTTATCCATGACCTTCTCGAGGATCTTCTCGACGCTGAAGCCGCCTTCTCTAGCAAGATCAAAGAAGGCCAGGTCTTTCTCCAGGAGCCATGGTCGATAGGGAGTGAAGAACACAAGTGCGGTGGCACTGGCAGTCCTCTTAAGGGTCTGCTGTACGGATTTGAGTAGCTTCGCATGCTCGGAATGGTTAAACAGGAGATCAGCGAGAATCAACACGTCAAAGCCAGGTTCTGTGGTGGTTATGGGGAGGTGTGAGAGGATGTTTTCGGTATCGTTTCCCCACAAATAGCCCTGAACAGGTCAGACTGAACAGGCTAGTTACACAATGGCGGAACAGACCTCTGCTGATATCCTTGAACGCAGGCTGTCAGGAACGGATTGATGAATGTTGTTCTGTATATTCTCAATCAGATCCGGATCGGGATAGTCTGTCACGACAACATGGGAAGCGCCGTGTAGAATGCAGACGAGACTTGGCAGACCGCTTGCAGCGCCGAACTCTAGGACAGAGCGATTGGAGATCAAGTCTTTGGCGTGCTCCTCGATGTACAGGGAGATGGTTCGACCAGCATTCCAGAGAAGATGGCCCTGGCAGCGTTAGATTGGGATTGAGCATAGTTGGGTTGAAGGTGAATGGGAGAGAGGATGAAAGAAGTATCATAAGCTGACCCATAGCGGATTGTGCCCTACGAGACGGACAGTAATGACATTGCCATCCAACTGGGTGTGGGAAGCAGATGTGGGGTCAGGCTCAGGCTTGTAAAAATCTTTCGGATCTTGGAAGAGATTGAAGTCATCATGGTCGGAATCGTCGAAAGACATGGCAGTATGGTGATACAGGGGTGGAGATGCAACGACGTGTGGTCACTACCAATACTAGAACTTGGAAGGATATCAATAATTGGTGTATGAGGTAAAGCGATAAATAGTGTGTGATTGGTGATGGGCGTAGTGGGATGTGAGGCAGCTATTAAGGCCAAAAAGGTCGACGCTGACCAATGATGAGCTTCGGAGGTTAGGTGATGTCGACGCCACATTGCGCCACACTGCGCCACGCCACGCTACGGCGGGATTCTGCCATGAGGCTTGGCTGTTGACACAACACACAGGACACATAGTATATAAGATCCAGAACGTGGGTTTATTCGCATGTATAATTACATATAGGGACTTAAGTGCTGCGGTGTAACGTAATGGTAGTAGTAAGGCTACTGATATATCATATACATGAGTGTATGTATAGTGGACAGTACCTAAACATTGATATATACCGTGTTTGCCTGAGAGGCTGCCTGACGGCTTGATTGCCTTATAAGCCTGACAGCCTGAGAGCCTGAGAGCCTGAGCAGTCTGGCAAGGAATGTCAGGAATGTCAGCAAAAGCAGGGTCCCGGAGCGAAACGGCGGAGGTTGAGCAAGTTTAATTTCCTCTTCAGGCCTAGCATGTCTTGTTTGTATCCCACGCGGGGCGGCGTGACTTCCACACACATCGGGCGGGTCTGACTGACTTCCAATTACATTCCACACTTTACTCTCTACACTCTACTCACTTACTCCCTCACTTCACACCTCACTCTACTCACTTTCACCTCTATAACTCTCTCACACTTTTACGACCGCAGCTCCAGCTCCCCGAATTACCATCGTCGTCTGTCTCCGCGCTTGGCATGACGCTGGAAGCACGTGGGAGGCCCCTTGCCACGCTCGAAACGCTGTGAAACATCTATCCGCCGACTGCTGCCCAGGGTCTTTGGCACAAAACACACCACCCCGAACCTTGACATTCACTCACTCACCTTACCCTTCTCGACCCTGTCCAGGGCCTCTCGTCTGCCTGGTCGCCCGTCGAACTTCGTCTTCGTCTTCGTCTTCGTCCCCCGCACTGGCCCCATTGCCATTGCACAAAGGGAAGGACTTCAAGACAACAGCGGGGTTCACTGCAGATGCTGATGCTGATGCTGTTGTTGTTGATGTTGTCTTTATGAACCTGTCCACTCCGCTTCATCTCATCTCATCTCTACTACCTCTTTGCCTCTACCTCCGCCCTGCCTCTGCCCTGTTGTGAGAGATACTTGGGAATCTGCTCTATTATGCTCATACTGCAACCTCGTTCCCCTGCGTCTCCACCTCCGTCCTGATTCGATCTGTTACTTCGGCCTACTGCGAACCTCGAACCACTTCTCCAGATCTAACCATCTCTTCCTCCCGACTATTACCATCCTCTCACTACACTCGCTCTTCTGCGCGCCCGGACCTTTGCGCCCGGGATTCCTGGTTGCTCTGCTCTCGCCTCGCCGCTTTTTCTATTCTTGGCTGTCTGTCACTTCTGCTTTCGCTCAATGGGCCCTGACAGCCCGATCACTCTACTACCCGCGAATTCTCTCAATCTGTTACCTGCCTCTACTTCATTATGCCGTGGATTGACCTTAACGGCGAGAAGAAAAAGGTTGCCTGGTGAGCTACTTCCCGATACCTATTTACTTGGCCCTCCTGTCATTCCAGCCTTGTTGGACCTTATCCCACTGACCCTGCTCCTAGCGGTCCATGCATCCGTGGTCATCGTTCTTCAAAGTGCGACCACAAGGATCGCGTCTTGCTCGAAGTCCGCAAGCCTGGTCGCCCGTTGAGTAGTTGCCCTCATCCGCCAGGCTCTTGTAGCTGCGAGAGAGTGCTTGTCAACTATACCGTCCCCAAGAGTAAGTGCATGTACTTTATAACCCCTACGCGCTGACTGTGCTATAGAATCCGATTGCAACTGTTCAAATGGTACTACCCCCGTCAGTGCGTCTGCCAATACCACTGGAAATGCGTCACATAGGGTTCAGAAACCTCGCCAAAAGCGAGCTTCGACTTCTGTCACCCCTGCTGCTGTAGCCAGAGCTCTTAAAGACCAGCCTGTTCTCACCGAAGACGGCTTATTCAACGGCGAGAGCAATCCACCTAGTGAGACAGCATCCGTAACCTTTTCAGCATCCGAGAGGAGCAATAATGCCTCTTCACCCCCCAGCAGTAGCCACTCGATCGATATCGACTCACAGTCCGATATCAAAACGGAGACGAAAGGGGCGAATGATACCTCTGCGCCACAGAAGTCATGTTGCACAGGATCCACAGCCGTGACAACAACAAAAGAGGACACTACTACGCCAAATACTGCCAGCACAACAGCGTCTTGTTGCCGTGGAGCTGGTAACGAAATAGATGCGGAACCTCCGCAAAAGTCCTGTTGCTCTGGACCCAAGAAGCCGCCACCCCTCACGTCGAATGGAGCAGCTCAGCCCGTCCCGCACGTCATAAACACCATCTACCCCCCTTATTCTCCGTTCCACCAACATCCTAACGGCATACCGACTGCTCCACCACCTACACACTCGCCCTACATGGCTTATCCTCCACATGGTAATGGTCCTGTCATGAACTCATCTGGATACATGCCAACGATGCCATATCAGACATACTTCCCATATCAAATGCAATTTCCGCCCGTCCATAACAACCCTACCAATGGTGATGGCTCCATAGGCCACAACTGCAACTGCGGTGATTCATGCGCCTGTCTGGGATGTGCATCACATCCCCGGAACGATACTACGAGAGAGTACATTCGATATTATAGCCAATTCCTGGGACCTCCGGGCATGGCGCGGCCTCCGCCATACCACATAGCGAATCACTACATGTCTTCTGGCCCACCAAATGGGCACTTCCCCTACCACCGTCCAGTACCGTCCAATGGTAATGCTGTGCCACAGCTTATCATGCCTCAGTATGCACCTCCTGACATGCATCCCGGACCTGCATATTCCTCCCAACCTCCTCATACCTGGCAGATGAACCCGTCTCACTCATCTGTTCAGACTACCCCTGCGGCCGAGTTTGAGAATTTCAATTTCAACCAAGCTCCGACACCCTTGAAGATGAATGGAAGATCGACACCCGATACCGAATTCAGGTGCTCTACCACCCCTACCCACCAGAATATGAGCCGGTCCAACTCCTGCGCCGAATATGTGGAGAACGATAGAAGCCAGGAAGCATCACCTACTGCTGGTGCCAACAGTCCAACGCTATCTCCATCGTCCTTCTTCCTCCAGTCGCTTGAACTCCCAGGCTGCGACGACCCGACCGGTACATGCCAGTGTGGCGATGGATGCGAGTGCGTCGGATGCCTTACTCACGGTGGTCACGACGGCGTCCCACTGGTACCGGATACAGGTGGCCAGAACGGGCTTGATTTCAGCCTCGATGGAAACTACACTTTGGACGACGCCTTTGCCGATGCCCCTTCCTGAGCCACACGAGCACGACCCAATGACGAAAACCAAATATATAGTGATTAACATGTAATCTTTTCGGACCGGCTGATTTAACAAACGTATGCCCCGACTGCATTGGTCGGTTTCGGCTGCTTGAATCTCCTTACGAGCTCGATAGGTATATTGGACCAGTCTGAACTATCGGGCGACCCTTGGATACACGCAATGCGAGAAGGAAGATGTTGTTGTTGGACGTCTGGATCGAGAGGTTCACTCTCACACGTGATCACACCAGACAGAGCACTACTACATTGGAGCGAGGACACACCATACGCGAGGACAGTCCATACAGCTCGTGTTTGCCGAGGCCCCGGCGGGACCCATCACTCTTCTGCGGCCTGTACAGCATCTTCAGAGCTTGTTGGCTCATAAGGGAGCTAGCTGGGCACATTCGAAGAGGCGTGCCTGCCCTGCCCCTGGCGTAGTCGCACTAGCACAGCATTTAGCACAGCGCGATACATATAGATCTCGCGTGCCACACTGAATTAAACACATATCATGAAACCTCCTGTCCTGTCTTGTGATGAATATATAGTGATTAGTCTCCTTGCTAGACGTGGATAGCTACAATGGCATGCATACTCGAGGTGGAATGGCCGTGTGAATATACTGACCACAACCACCTTAGCCCGACGACGACATCATCACACACGCACACCATGACAATATGAACAGAACAGCAAAACCATCGTAAATTCCCATCGCTAATCCAGCACATCCAGATGAGATATATACAGCACAGCACAGCACAGCACAGCATACCACACGCACTGTCCATACAAAAATCAGAACAAAAGGGCAACAATAACAACAGCAACAAAATAATCAATCAATCCATCCAAACGCCCCCTTTCCCTCCTTTTGAACCAAAACAAACAACCCAATAACACAACAACGCCCTGCCTGACATGTATATTTATATATATTAAAAAACCCACACCACACCTGCGATAGGCCGGTACCCTTATTCCATCTTCCTCCTCCTTCCTCTTCTTCTCCCCTCCTCCCTCCCCCCTCAACCCTCCTCATCTATCGTCCTCCGCAAACCCTCCCCCCTAAATCACCACCATCAATACCCACTCCCCCTACCCCCCCTAACCCTCATCCCCCCAACAACAGCCTTCTCACTCAACGCCTCCAAAAACCCCTTGTAATCATCCCTCTTGACCTCAACAACACAATGCTCGAAATGATCCAGCCGGACGCGCGCGCCCGTCGCATCGGCAACCTCACTAAACGCAATACCGAATCTATTCTTGCCGTGCGCGCGTCTCGCTGCTTTTCTTGTGTCGTCGTTGTCGGAGTCGTCGGAGTCACTGTCAGAGGAGCCTTCGCTTTCGGTCGCGTCTTCTTCTTCTTCGTCCTCGTCGTCATCCGAGTCCATCCCATTCGCAAGCCGACGGAGGCGTCTCGCTTCCTTCTCCTTCGCCCTTTCAGCGCGACGCTTGCTGCGCTTCTCCTCGCGCGCCTTCTTCGCCTCCTCGCGCCTCCTTGCGCGATCGGGATCAAATCGGGCGCCGCCACCACCGCCAAGGCCAACAATGACATAGACGTCGCGGGTCTCGTCAAGGGCAGCGAGGACGAGCTCGCCGTTGCCGTCCCTTGCCTTTTTGCCTTCCTGTTCGACGAGGGCCTCTGCGATCCAGAGGGCGAGTTTGATGAGGGCGCCTGGGTGGGCGAAGAGCGGGACGTCGGGGCCCTCTTTGACGACGGCGACGCGGAAGGCGTTGAGGTGGAGGACTTGGCGTTTTTCGAGGAGGGAGGTGCCTGTGCGGAGGATGGCGCGGTGGAGGGACTGTGCGGTGGGGATGTGTTGGGTTAGGAGCTTGATGTCGGCGAGGGCGTCGTAGGCGGTGAAGAAGCGTGCTGTGACGTGTTCCTGGTGGGCGAGATCGGATTCTTCGGTGGTTGGGGGCGGTTGGGATGGTGCTGGGTCGGATGGGTCGTTTGAGGAGGCTGTTGCTACTGTGCGTGTGGATGCGTCGCCGACTTCGAGGATAGCGCCGATGATGGTGCCGACGTCGAGGGCGCTGAGGCATGCTTTCCAGCCCCAGCAACGGACGAAGCCCCAGCCTTCTTTGGGGATGCGGGATTCTTCGGGTGGCACGAGACCCTCGAGGCCGTAGACGGGCGCTTGTTCCAGCAGCTTTTTTCGTAGGCTGCGTTTGACTTGCATGTCCATGTGTTGGTAGTTTTGCTTGCATTGGGCTAGAGATATCCCCATCTTGGCCAAGAACTTGTGTAGACGTCGACGCCCGTTATCGTTCCATATCCTGAGGCGTGTTGATAAGAAGGGCGAGTGTAGCATGCTGTCGTACAGAGACCAATGACGAATTAAGAGAAACTTTGGCTCTGGAGACAGCCGTATTGACGTGTCGGTGGGCGAGCGTCCCGTCGTCGGTATCACGCCGTATGCCTCACCCACCGTAGTCTCCTGGATGAATTCTTTCGAGTCGAGAGGATTCAGCCGGTTCACCTCATCGCGGAGAGCATGTCGTATTCGTTCGCCCCGGTCACCATTCCATCCTGACCATCGGCCGCTAGATGAGACAGGGTTCAGCCCAATGCCATTCTGCGTTCGCCCGTAGAGCTCAAGACTGCTGGCTCCGACTACTGCGTTCCAGAGAAGATCGTTGTCCTCACGACCTAGCTTTTCAGCCAGAGAGTACATCATGGACGATACTGGTTCCGAATACGACGTTCCCAAGGCATAATACTGCTCCAGGACGGATTCATGTCTTCGGCGCATGCGTAATAGTCGCTTTCTTAACGTGCGGGCAGAGGGCTGTCTTGGTCCGTGTATGGCAGGCGATGATGATCTACTTATGGATGGCTCCCGGGATATGTTTGATGAATTATCGGTTTGTCCGGCCATTGATATGAGGCCATGCCGTCGCGGTCGCTCCCCGGTACTGTCAATAGATGCAGACTATGTCAAGTCAGTAGATCGTTTTTCAAGCTGATCAATACTACCCACCGAGTTGCTTCTTCGCCTCCGCCTAGGCCGATCGTCCTGGTCATCTTCCTCACTATCTTCTTCTCTGTCCGAAGACGTCTTCCTCTTCTGGCCGGAAGGCGGAAGCCCGGTTGTATCGACGGGCTCTCTTCCACCCTCGTCCTCGTCCCCATCTTCCGAGCTTTCCGAATCCGAGTCGTTAAACTCATCCTCATCAACCTCAGGCATCTCCGCAAGCGCACAATACGCGTCCTGCTCCCTCTTAAGCTCCTCGTCAATATCCCCATCATCATAGACAAAGATCCCGCCGTTCCCCGGTATATATCTGTCCGACACGCGTCCATTGACAACCCCTCGCTCCCTCGACACCAGCTGTCCATCCTGAGCCGCCACCTGGGCCTGACCCCCAAAGATATTCGTCAAATTATACGGTCTCCTCGAGTCAAACACCCAGAGCTCCACCCCGGCCATGCCGCCTTCTCCCTTCTCATCGACCTCCAGTCGCAGCACATTCTCCAAATCGACGAGGCCCCCAACGCCCAGACATACGACCACGCCGCCGCTGCCACCTTCCGTTGTCCGCATCGGTCGGACGAGCTCCGTGCCAACGCGTGCGAGGTCGCCATACCCAGCTATCGGCTTGATCTTATGTGATATGTAGTCGCGCTTCAACAACGAAATAAGGATCCGGCACGCACACAGAGCATCCGGCTCGAGGGCAACGAGGATCAAGACGGGCGAGGACAGGGAATTGTTCGTCTTCTTGAGGTGTAGGTATAGGGTCGATATCGAGTCTCGCGGGAGGTACATTGCGGCTGTGGAGTGTGTGAGGTTCCGGACGGTGCACCTGGTCAGGCGGTGGACGGTGACCGTGAAAATAACAATCTTTCAAACAATTGAGCGAGCTCGTAGTGTACCAATGGTGGGTGTGTGTGTGCAAACGCGAGCAATTGAGAATAATGGTGGTTGGCGGTGACGCGCGGGAAGACGCGTTGGCCGGCCGGAGCTAGTAGAGTGCCAGAGTCAACCTTGAGAGCTGGAAGCGGTCATAAGAATGCGAGAATGGTATTCATAATAGTAACACGAGAGGTAATGTATATAGCATGTAAGAAGAAGCTGATGTAGGCTGTTTGTGAGCAGCAGGGGCAGCAGCAGTAGGAGTAAGTAGATTATTAGAGCGCGTGCTGCGTGTAGTATTACCGGCAACAACGCGTAGAACGGGACGCTAACGGAGTTGGGAGTAGCCATTTGCGGCTAGCGTCACGGATCGTCGATCTGTTGATCGACCATCCATCTCCTTCATCCTACATCTGTATTTAATCCTTTCCAAGAGTTGCTCAAGTGTTGAACAACAGGTGTATGACCTTGACTTAGCGGCGTTTAGAAAGCTCTCACAGCGAGATATCATGAAATCGTTTTCTTTCTACTTTACATGTGATCAAGCCGCGACAACTTCATCCCATTCAAGTCTTACATCTTCAGCTTATAAGTATATTTCAGGTCCAAATGCCAGTAATTTGGAGTCGTAGCCTTTGTCACGAGCCAGGCCTCATCCAAAGCCTTCACGACGTCGTCAGGCAGAGGCCCCTTTTCGCAATCGGCCAGGTTACTTTCCAGCTGGCCAAAGCTGCTGACACCGATGATGATACCGTCCTGGTTGCCCAGACCATCGCCCTTGACATTCAGCGCAGAATGGTGCACAACCCACCTCAATGCCGTCTCAAGCAGCGTGAGGCCATGCTTCTCGACAACCGGGCTGATAATTCTCAGCGCGTCAAAGGTGGCGTCCTTGAAGTACCGCTGTCGATACATGGCGCCCACCTTGGTCGCATCGCTGAAGCGTCCTTCCGTCCCGACATCTTCGGGGGCTTTGATCTTGCCGCTGAAGAGGCCTCCGGCAAGGGGGTTGTAAACGACGACCGAGAGGCCGTATCGGCGGCACGCAGGAATAAGTTCCGTTTCGAGAGAGCGAGCTGAAACGTGTGTTAGTAGTTTGTCTTCGTCCCGTCATGATGACCTAGCATACTGATAGCATTATACATTCCCTGGGTGAAATTAGCATGTTTCCATTCCGGTGCAGACATGAAGTCGGCTTACCTGATAGATGGTAGGCTTTACCCACCCACGCTCCCTACACATGATACAAACCTCCGCAACTTCAAACGCGGTGAAGTTACTCAAACCCAGCTGAACAAACTTGCCCTCCTTGTGAAGCTTATTTACCTCCTCAAGCGTCTCGTCGAACTGCATCCATTCTCAGCGAACCGCCACGATCAATCAGCCATCAAGCCGTCAACAAGGGACTCACTGGAACACTCCGGTCTGGAGCATGGAGATAGAATATGTCGACACAATTCGTCTTCAATTCGGCCAGACTCTTTTCCAACTGCTCCCTGACCACTGCCGGCTTATGCGCGCCAGGGGTTTGCGGATACCACTTCGTAGCCAGGGTCAGGCCCCTCTCCTTCCAGCCAGCCTCTGTGGTAAAGGCCTCCTGGGTGCCGCCCACGTAGACGCGAGCAGTGTCTACTTCATTGTAGCCCTGCTGCTGGAAGTAGTCCAAGCACTTTTTGTACTCGTCCATTGACGTGATTCTGGCTCCCTGCTCAGGGTGAGGTCTGGGGAAAAGTAAGTGAGTGGTTTAGTGGTTTGTATAGGGTTATAAAGATTACCCAAAGGTCATAAGACCTAGGATCACTCTCGGTTTCGGGTTCGTGGCTACGAGAGGCATTCTGGAGTAGAGTCGTGGAGTATTGCTTAAACTGTAGGTCTACCGAGCATGCACCAGAGTGTTTGTGAATATTTAACTGGAGGAGTGGAGAAAGTGGTGTAACTTGGGAGCTGTCTGGCACGATGAAGCTTGGCTTTACTCTGATATATGGCTTACGGATGTAATACTAAGTCCGAGCGACGGATTGATCATAAATATGCAATGACGACTGCCCGTGGTGGGGCAATGCATCCTTTGGAGGGGTTTTGGTGGCTTTTGGAGCTTTGCTTAGCCGCGACGATAGACACAATATAAGCACTAGCTATATGACGCTTCGTCCAGCGGTGAAGCTGATGTCTACTTTATCGTAGGCATCGTGAGGTACTGTGGTACACCATGGATGGACTGGTGCGGTCCCTTCCTCCGAATGGTGCATCCGTATCTTCAAGGAGCTTTCGGCATCGAGGCCGAGCTTCACATGACCTGGAAACGATCGGTGATAGGTTCGATACCCCAGGCGGAGTTGAGTATGATGAGAAACTGATCTGCCATTGTATCTCTTGTAATCCGGTCCCGAGACATTGTTCCGTGGCAGGCGTCTGTCTCGTCATGTCCAGCCGTCACCAGACCAGCATTATGGGACATTATCTATAGTAATATACTGTACTTTGCTGAGATATAGAAATACATGCTACAATATAGTACATCGAGACTCACGCTCTCGATGCTTCCTCGACCGGCGACCGCCATGTTTCTGGCCGGAATGGCGATCACGCCCGTCTCGGTATCTGTCGCGTTGGTCGTGGTGTCGAGAATGGGCTCTTTCCATGTCTCTGTGGATGATCTGCCTGCAGAGATCCACAAAGACTTCGTCAACATTAGCACGTCGCCGTGCACTTGTCTCGTAATATGGGCAGTTACCCCAGCTCTGGGAGACTGCAAACGCCCTTGGGCGCGACACTGCCCGATCATCCTCTAGATCGGATTTGTTGCCCACAAGCACTATGGGAATGCGGGTATCCTCTTTGATACGGATGATCTGTTCGCGCAATTCGGCAAGCTCTTGGAGCGACGACATGGATGTGATGCTAAACACGAGAAGGAATCCCTGTCCACTTTTCATATATAGCTCCCTATGCCAGTTAGCAACGGTGGAGACGGAGATGTTCCGTTCGCGTTTTTACCTCATGGCGGCTATTTGTAGTTAGCTTGCTTTCCTTGTCTGTCGCGATGATGTATTGTGGCTCACTGAATTGCTCTGTTCCGGCGGTATCCAAGATTTCAAGTATGACATTTCGACCCTAGCGGATAAGAAAATGTAAGCTAATGCGCGTGCGCGATAGGAATTCTTGGTAATTCGTACGTCGACGTCGATAGCTTTCCGGTATGAATCTTCAATAGTAGGATCATAGCTTTCGATCCATACGTTTTGTACGAATTGCGCTTCTACAGTCAGCGGCTCCTTCATACGTTGTACGCCAACTCAGGTCTTGCATACCAGTCAAACAGCTCTTTCCGACGCCACCTTGATTGGAAAACCCGATTAGCCTTTTGCATGGCAGCAGGAACTGGGACCACTACGCGCCCACTTACCCGAACCCAGAACCACAATGTGGTACTCTCTTTGAGACATGCCTTAGGTCTTGATCTGCGCAGACTGAGATGCCCACGCGTCCTGTCGCATAGTGTGTTGAGAATGTAGGAAGATGGGCGAGTCAAGGATGGAACGAGGCGGGTGGAGCAGCTTGCAGGGTGGTGAGAGGGGTCGATGGAGGAGGATGAGGAGGAGGAGTAAAAGAAGAAGGCGAAGAATATGAATACGAGGTCAAGAAGGCCTAGAGTATGAAAGCGACGAAGTCGAAGCTGTGTGTGTGTGTGCGTGAGTGCGACTGTGCGTGTGAGTGTGAGTGTAATAGAGGCCTCAAGACGGCAGTTTCCAAGGTAAAAGGCAGTGCGCAGAGTGGATACAGAGGGCCGCCAACCGGAACTGCAGAAGTCAGCCGTGTGTACAAGCAACAGCAACAGCAAGAAAAAGGGACAGCCAACGAAAGCATTTGCGAGGTATGACGCGAACATGAAGCGCGTGGGACGGCGTCTAGGTATGCAAAGTATAAAAAAAAACGAAGGCTGAGAAACAAGGTAGGGCACACACTTAGCTGGGTGTTTTCTTACGCGAGACAATAATTGGATATAATAGCTGTGATGGGCGGCGACTCAACGGGGGGCAAGAAAGATGAGGGAGCTGAGCTGTGCTGCTACATAACAGGCTTGCTCTGGGCAGTGGCAGTGGCAGTGGTAATAGTGGCAAAGGAAAAGGAAAAGAAAAGGCGAAGAATAGTTAGGAAGAAGTAATAGTGATAGAGGCCGAGTGAGTGAGTGAGTGAGTGAGTGAGTGAGTGAGTGAGTGAGTGAGTGAGTGAGGGAGTAAGTAAGTGAGTGAGTGGTGGGACGAAGTGTATGGATGCACAATTTAACGTTTTTCGCACAGTTGGACCAGTCATCATACCGCAACCGCAACGGCAACGGTAGTAAGGGAGGGAGAGTGAACGGACTACTGATTAATTAGGCTCAACTTGATAGTGTCTAATCCCTTGTTAGATATCCGGTGAGAATGTATATACTGTTAGTTATGATTGTTATTACGATGAGCAGCAGGATCTGTCTTTCTATGCCTCTCCTCTCTCTCTCCTCTGCCCAAAAGAGCATGACGAACGAGTGCACGAACTAGGTAGCTGGTAGGTGATAGCTAGGCAGTTAGTCTGCGTGTCAGTCTTATTCTACGACCAGACGACGCCTTCTAGACATGCCTCTAGCCATTCTTCCAAGTTTTCGCCTATCGTTGTGGCGTTTCTGTGATGGTGCTGGTGCTGGTGCTGGCCATCGCCGCCATCCATCCATCCATCCTTGCCCTGTCCAATCCATCCCTACCTACAGTACACCTGGTGGACCGCCACAAGAACACACACACACACGCGCGCAAAAGTCTCCTCTTCAGACAGCGCTGTGTGTATGTGTGCTCTTCTTCTTCTTCCTTCTTCAGCAACAGCGACAAATTGTGATGTCCTCACTAAGATGCAGACGGATGAAATGACAAGAAGGCCGGCGAACGAGGCGGCCACGCGCAAGACAAGATCCAGAACGGCGTCCCAGCGCATCGGGTGGCGGCCACGAGGGGGGAGGGGGAAGCCGGGACTGGGGCTGGGGCTGGCCAGTCTCTCCCCAAGGAATCAGCTAGCGAATCCGCTGTTCTGGGTGGTGCTGGCTGATGGCTGATGGCTGATGGCGGCTGGCGGCTTGCTGCTCCCGACTCTACATGGCGCTGGAGCTTGTGCCATAATACCAAGCAATTGGTCGGTTCTCATGATGATTATAATTATAATAATGAAACCAATGTCATCATTCATTTTCTGGCTGCATCGCCGATCGACTGCCTTGCTCGACGGACTAGACAGGATGGTAGTGACGGTGGTCTCACGGGCTCATTAATTACCAGCGAGAGTCTGCATGCATGCACTATACACTCACTCTACACTATACAACAACCTGCAGAAAGTGCCTCGTCAACTCGTATGTCCCCTCGTCACGGTATCAATATGCCCAATGCTTTCTGCCTCCCCTTTGATCTTGCCCTGCTGCCCTGGATCACTATGCATCTCACCCTCCTTGATCTTGCCCGTCAACTCAAACCAGTCTGGCGCCGGCAGACTCAACAGTTTACAGACGTCCTTTCTCTTTTCCCTAAACCCGTCGTACAATTGCTTCCAGATCCTCCTCTCTGCACATGAGCCCTCGTGGCTTCCTCCACAGTCAGGCTGCATCTCTGCCAGTCCTTCGGCCGACCATAGCACCCACGGCTTCGGCATGGGCCAGTCGCTGAAATGCACCAGTTTCGCCTCTTTGATAATGCTTTCTGCGTCCCACTCCATCTCCTCGCTACCCAGGTATGCCGTGTGATTGTGGTTGCGGAACTCGCCCGTTAGCAACGCGTACGGCCGCTGCGGTATTGTGAGCGCTGTTTGTCCGTAGCGCTCGTTGAGGAGCTCCATGTCGTATTTGCGCGCCTCGACCGTCTCTTGCTCTGCACCAGCGTCAATCTGCGCCTTGAGTGCGTTGAACTCTCGCATGCTTGGCTCGACGACCATTAGGAGGCTTGTGAGGGGGTGAGGAGTTTCGGCTTGCCAGTAGGCGGGCGGCATGGCGACTGTGGCTTGGGGTAGGAAGAACAGCTCGTCAATATTCTGGAGTAAGGTGAGATCGGAGTCAAGGTGGATGACGCGGTCAAAGTGGGTGAGCGTGAATGCAAACAGCTTCGACACGGATTCATCCCATGTCTTCTTCGGCTTGTCTGGTGGTAGTGGTGGTCAGATTAGCAACTACTCCTCCTCCGTCAAGTGCGTGTTCGTGTGTGCGTGTCGAGAAGGAGCGTACACTCACCAGGCGTCCTGTACCCAAATACATTCATGATCTTCGTCGGCATCAGCACGACCTTGTAGTCCCGCCTCGCCATCACCAGCAGCTGGCTATCCCGATCAGTCGCACTCGACACCAACGTATCCCAATGCCTCGGATAGAACAGAACTCTCTCCGCCTTGCTGCCCAGCCTCTGCAGCGCTTCAAACACCATGACAGCATGGCATAGCGTAGCCGTATCAGTCGCATACAAACTATACGCATACTTGCTCCAGTCTGCCTTTGCCATCGCCGCCGCCCCAGTCAGTTTCGGCGGCGGCGGCGACGCGTTACGTGCTCTCGTGAGGCGCCATAGTACAAGCAGGACGAAGCATCCTACGAGTATGAGTGTCCGATTGCGCCGGAAGATGGCAATGGGGTTGTTCGAGGGTCTGCCACGCTTGCGAGGCGTGTATGCCGGAGGAGGAAAGTATGGGAGTGGATCATCGCTGTATCGGCGCCCTCGTACTGGCATGGTCCACGGTCCTGATCAATCTGGGTCTTGACAGGGCATTGTGGGGAGGAGGCTGATGCTGAATAGACTTTCCAGCGAGACGTCGATGGCGTAAGAGCTTGTTTGTCCGCCGGAGAGCGTAGGGCTGATCTTCAGGGGAAAATAATGCGGGTCGCGGGTGCCGACGGCTTGCTTTTTCTCGCCACGTCAGGCTCAGGCTCCTATGATAGGGCAATTAGCCTTGTCGCACCACAACACTTGACAATTGTTAAATAGTTGGAGACGTTCATGGACAACATTAATATTATTTCCGTGTCTACTAAAGAGACACACAAAGTCTGCCATGCATGCTTCCAAGAATTTACTGTCCCGAACCCTACGTTCTTGGTTCGAAAATCAACTCCAAAGGTCCAAGCTCGAGTGCGAAGCAATCCTTTTTCTCTTTCAAGAAGTTTTCCTGTGTAAACCCTGGAGCTGTCCTCACGTTGTACTCGTGTAAGATGTGTGCAGTCACGCTACGAACTTCCATGAGCGCCAATTGCTTTCCGACGCAGCCGTAGGGGCCAATCGAGAAGGGCATGAAGGCGTCTGCATTCTTCACGAGCTCTGGGTGATCAGTCCAGCGCTCAGGGATGAACTCGAGGGGCATGCCAAAGTTGCGTTCATCTAAACTTCATATCAGCTTTGAGACTCTCGCGTGTTGCCCGGAGACGTTCTTACCTCTTTGAAGCGTGTGGATGGGAATCTTGACAAACGAGTTTCCAGGGATATACGTCCCGGCGATCTCAAGCCCTTGGGGTGGTGTAACACGCTGTAGACCTGATGGGACCGGTGGGTGTAATCGCAGTGACTCGTCGATACAAGCCTGGAGATACTTGTACTTGGAGAGACCGTTGTAGTCGATTTCGCCCTTCTCAAACGCCTGGTCCACCTCCTTTTGCAGCTTCTCAACAATCTCCGGGTGCTGTGATAATTCGTAGAACAACATGGTGAGCGCAGCCGCAGTGGTATCGCTTCCAGCGACAGCAATGAGCGCACCATCTCCGATGAGATTGAGCTCGTCTTGTCTGGTAGGCTTCTTCTTCGACTGATGGTCCTCGAGAATCCATGAAAAGACGTCTGGTCGTTCTAGTCGAGTCTGCCGACGCTTGTCGATCTGCTGACCCACCCACTTCCAGAACTTTTGGTCTTCAGCATTGAGTACAGGCATCAGTCGAAACACCGGGATAATCCAGATAGCGTAGCTGAGGATGCCAACAGCCTTTACGAAGCCGTGAAGTGCAACCATGAAGTAGTGCTTGACGCCGTCCTTCAACATGTCAAATTGAGCCCCAAACGCAAGATCCCCCATAATATCGAATGAATAAAAGTTGAACCAGTCGGACATGTTCATTGGCTTGCCAGCATGCTTCTCGATCTGGCTCAGAAGCTGGTTCGTGTATTTGACGACTCGAGGTTCATAATGACGAAGAGCTGCATATCATCAGTCTGGTGGAACATCTGACGCCCAACCTGGCTTTACAAACCTCGAGCATTGAAGCCACGATCCCACGCTTTTCGTCTTCGAGCATGCTCGGCCTTGTTGCGAGTGGTGTGAAGAGAGATCCATGCGCTCAAGTCATACCATGGGCCCTTGGTGCATTTCGTGGTGGCAGAATGTAATTTCTGCACAGCATCGACGTTGTTGACCGAGATCTCAGTGGGACCTGGAGACGAATTAGAATGTGTTCCGCACACGCGTTAAACATTGAAGATAGCCCACCAATCCGCACAAAGTCTCCGTACTTTTGGTGAAATTGCTCAATCTCCCGATAAATCTGGAAATTCTTGACCGCCAAGCTGGTAATATACCAATTCGAGACTCTGGCGCCGAACGGTCCAGGGAACCTGTTCAATCTGTGGAAGAGCGTTCGGTAGATGCTCATGCTTGTGAAAATACCAAGTATCGACACCAACTCAAGGTATGTGATTGTGCGAAAAGCTCCGACGAGACCAATGTTGCCCTTTGTCAACACGAAATGAGTATAGGCAGCGCCCACCACAGCCAGCAGAGCATAAGCCGCAGCCGCTTTGTGGTATGATCTGTCCCATTCTCCAAAGCGGAATGCAAAGACATGGAGGGCAATGCCAGCAGCAAAGGCTACTAGCGGTAATGATAGACTCTCAGCTTGGACCATGATAAAATCGCAGAACCGTAGGAACAGTCCATCAATGGACCTATAGACGGCTCGACAGGAAGGGCGAGGAAGTATTCTTTAAAGCTCCATGCTCCTACGTGGACGAGCCTTATTTGCTTCTGAGCTGACCTAAACATAGTAAAGTGAAGTGAGTTGGTCCAGTGAACAGTGCCTTCGATGTCTTCAAATGGGATAGCCAGAAAGCTGGCGCGATCTGGGCTGAATGTCGAGGGGGGGGGGTTCCCAGGGAGTGTTTGAGTCAGTGTTTGCATCCACTGCTCCAGTTTCGTCACTTTCTGCGGGGGGGCGGTACGGGTAGCGGGGCGTGGAAGTGGAACTAAGGTAGCCGGACGTCGTTTTCGGACGGCGATATGCAAAGACTCGCCAGACTGAGCATCATCGATAGGCCGAGTATGCTCGCAAGGAGACATTTACTGTGCCGTACGAATCCTACTGTTGCGTTATCGTTGCGCGACTTGTTCCCGGCTTCATCGCGGTGACACCGTGGATACACAGCTGCATCTGCGAGAGGTGGCGTCTTCTGTCGGCAGAACTCTGTTCCAATGTAAACACCTCGACCAAAGCAGCTTGACTTGATATCAATTAGAGTCTACCTTTGATTGGCGCAAATGCTGCACCGGCTGCTTGCAAACACCGCCAAATCGCTAGACTGCGCTCCCAGTCGGCATCATCCAGAATCTCTACAGAGCCGTCGGCTTTCAGTGTTCTTGATTGGCACACGTTCTGCGTGCCCCATGAGACAACTCGGCCCGTGATAAATTGAGACAATGGATGGACAAAAGATTCGTATGCAATCGTCTTCTCCTCATCTTCCAACTGTGCTTTGTCACCCCAGAACCATATGGCGAGATCGGATGTGTGAGTGACACCCCACTCTGGCGGCAGAGCTACACACTTGGCCCGCCATTCGACCCGGTAGCGATACACGAGGTCGCCAGCACCGAAACGGTCAAGTGCATTGGCAAGGCCACGTTCCATGGCATGTATCTGAATGTCTGCGTAAATCCTGCCAAACTCCTCGCACCAGTCTCTGGATCGCGAAGGCAGCTGGCCATTCGGGTAGAAATGCTTCACCAAAGCATCACAAGCCGCGCGTGGGTAATCGGCCTGGAGTCTGTCGTACAGGCCCTGGAAGCTATCTTCTGGGGGCCTCCATTCGCCATAAACAAAATGCTCATCCTTGCATTCGCCCATCATTAGCTGGACGCCGCGTTTCCTCATTCGCGTGGCGAACTCCCCTCTGTCTATGTCTTCGAAGAGTGACGGACGTACGAACTCGCCATCGGTCACTGCGCGAAACTGATGAATCTTCATGGCGAACGTTGCTTCGACGAGTTGGCTGGATGGGATCTGGCGAAGCTTCGACAACTTTTCGGGCTCTGTGATGTCAAGGGATATCCCTAGCACCTGTAGCAGCTCATCGAACTGTTCTTGTGCTTCTAGTAAGGACTTGGGTTGCACGCCTGGACCGTTACTCCACATGATTGCTCTCCGGATGATACTCTTCTGGTCTGGCAGGAACAGATCGTACTGCAGTTGCATGAATGTCGAATACGAGCCTGGAGAGCGTAAGTGAAAATGAATGGTGACTCACTCCGGCGTGACAGCATACCAGCAGAGTATCCAGCCACGGCTATATTTTTGGGGTTGCCACCAAAATAGTCGATGTTCTTCCACGCCCACTCGAGAGCGAGCCGCTGATCCCAGAATCCGAGATTACCTACTTCACAGCCCGCTCCAGATTCTCGTAGAAGCTCACGGGACGCGAGGAAGCCAAAAACATTCAGACGATATGCTGGCATGACGAATATACACCGACAATCAGTTTCGCTCAAGAGCTTGCTTACGTCGAGATCATTAGGATCACCAAATTGCAAGAACCCTCCATCTGAGCAACAAGTTAGTGGCAAGAAGTTCTCCTTAGGCTTGAATGATGAGTTCGTACGAATGTAGAAGATTACTGGCCAGCCTGCAAGCGTCAGAGATGGATCAGTGGAATTATATGTGCCACTCACCCCCTTCAGGTGGCTCTCCGACAGGTAGCCAGACATTGAGTTGCAGGCAATCCTCATCTCGCACTTCCAGCGCAAGTTCGGATTTGGCAGCTCTTGGCTGAGGACATGTAGCCGTGCCCCCGGTGAACTTGCCTGGGTTTGCTCGTGTTCCATAACGATAGCATGGCGGGAGCGGTCTCGGTCTCCGCCATCGAAAAGGCCCAATTGGCGGCAGCCCGTACCTATTTGGCGGTTAGGACCATGTGCACTGATTTACTGGGTAGAATGACTGTCCGGTATGCCTCCGAAAAAGTGGCAGAGCTCGGTGCTGTCTATGTCCGATGTCAAGGTGACGCCTTCGATGAAGCCTCGATATTGAAGATCTAGGACGTAGGGCTTGCTCGAAACCCCGTTTATAGATGACATCACAAATGGAATGGATGGGACAGTGATTGATTGATATGATTGATGCTAGGAGCAATAAGTATAAATCATCCCTGAAGACAACTCCAACGCCAATAGCCGGACGGAGCTATGGCCGTTCCTCGGTTGAGCGTGGTTATCATAGGCTGGCCAGGGTCCGCGATAGACAATAATATTGGGACAACATCGACAAGAATCACTGACTATATGATGAAATGACAAGAGCCCTATACTACTTGGAGGTCCATATAAAGGTCAGCTTCCAGCCCATCTTTAAATACAAGGCGTCGACAGAGACATATTTTGCTATCTGGAGATCCAATGCATTTCGACACGAGCCAGATATGAGACATACGCATCCATGCTCATTTATTCACGCAGGCATTGCAAAAGTGATTGAGTGGTTGTGGTCGACTCTACTAGCATGTTGTACTCTCCGATATAGGCAACAACAACATGTTTCCTACATGCAAAGTGCAAGACGATTATCATGCAGGCGCACGCCTTGTTACGCCTCCATGAATCTAGACTACTAACTGTCTGATGCAGTGACATGTCGGGCGAGTATCAGGTACTAAAGATGCAGATGCGTCGGGAGGTTTTGGGGCTGTGCAAAGCGGCTGAGACACAACGTGGGGCGTAGGAGTAGTCAGGACTCTGAACCTGAACGCGCGGTGATCCAAGTCGCCTTTCAACAACATCTTCCTCCCCTGAACTCACTCTCGTTATACATCTTCCAATTCACCTCTTGTTTCGATCCATACCGTGTCCTTGCCGTGCTGTTATCAATCATGGGCTACGAAGACCTTCAGACCGCGGTCGTCAATCGCTCGCTCCGCTCTGTCAAGACGGTAAGGCTGCCAGGCGGAAAAGTCTCATATGGCCTCAACCACTAAAGCACACGACAGGAACTCGAATTCCTGAAAGACGCAAACGTTCTCACGGCGCAGCAGTACTCGTCCATCATCGGAAACCTCCCGGCGGAGAATGCTGCGCCCGTGCAACATCGCGTTCACGAGGCTCCCACGCCCGTGCAGAGCACCCCTATCCCGGCCATGGCCCAGCTCAGCATGAACAACAACAACAACAACAGCAACAACAACGAGAAGAATGGATACTACCAGCCGGCCGCGACGCCGAATGTGCCTCCACCGGCGTACCCGAGCGCGCCCGCCGCTCCGGCATCAGGCCTCGCCACCTGCTCTGCGCTGTACCAGTACAACGCCCAAGACGCCGGTGATCTGCAGCTAATGCCAAACGACCGGGTCGTGATCACGGAATACATGAATGCAGAGTGGTGGAAGGGACGGAACGAGAAGACTGGCCAGGAGGGCATCTTCCCACGGAGCTACGTCAAGATCATCGAGGAGAAGGGCCCCATGATGCCCTCTGTTCCAACGCACCAGCCGAGCAACTATGGTAACATGCCTCAGGACGTCGCCCACGCGGGACCCAGCGAGCAGCCAGGCAAGGGAGCTGAGATGGGCAAGAAGTTTGGCAAAAAGCTCGGCAACGCAGCAGTCTTTGGTTCGACGCCCGGTGCGCACAAGTGCGAGGTCAGGCTGACAGATATACAGGTGCCGGAGCGACTATTGGGTCCAAGATTGTCAATGGCATCTTTTGATAAGCGAACAGGTACTTTCCATATGTTTGGCGTTCCGGTCGGCGTGGGAGTCGATAGTGTGAGACGGGTGTTGTGGGCAGGGGTAGGACTGCGTGACAGCTATCACGTTCTTCTCGTTTCAATCGAGCTTGAGAAGCTGCTTTATCTTTCAATGAACTTGTCGTGTTTTCAAATCACTTGGGGATAGTGCTGATGTGACAGCTCGGCTGTGTTTCGACAGTGTGACACGACCTTCGGCTGGGTGAATGGGTGCTGTTGACCGACGACCCCCTTGCCTGACAGTCCAGCCTATTCATCGTCACCCTTGACGCACGTCCTGACAGTGAACCCGGCAGTAGTAAGAGACTTCTCTACACTCTACAGATCCTAACTCTCTCTCTCTCTCTCTCTCTCTCTCTCTCTCAACATCCAGGAGAACGCCACGCCACCAGTGGCCCAAGATGACCTCTCATAACCCATCCAGCTTCAACGACAGAAGGCAGACGAGCGATCCAACCAGCCCGATGGCCTCGACCGCTCGACCGAGCGAAGACCAACGAACCACGACGACAACCTCACCCACACATTCATGGGAGCACTCGACCCTGCGAAACAGCAACTCGACCGCCTCGCCCAACATCCGCGCCTCACCCGCCGGCAGCAAGCTCTCGTCGTACATCCCGAACGCCTTCAAACTCAAGACCAAGAAAGCAAACCCCCAGTCCGACCTCCCACTATCCACCCTCACCACCCCAGCAAACGCCATCCACAGATCAACACACATAAACCTCACCCACGACACCACCACCCCCAACCACACCCACAAATCCAAACCCCGCCTCACCCGCCACGCCCTTCCCCTCAAAGCCCTAACCACCCTCCTCACCTCCGCCGCAACCCTAGGCCTCAACCTCTCCTCCAGCATAACAGAAGAATACCTCTACGACTTCCACCTCCTCTCCACAAGCACCCAATTCCACCTCTCCTGGATCCCCGCCCTCCAACTCTCCCTCCCCTTCCTCCTCGCCTACCCCCTAGCCCACGCCTTCAACCACGGCCACGGCGCCACGCTCTTCCGCACGGGCGCCGCCGTCCTCGTAGCCTCACAAGTCGCGCTCGCGTTCTGCGATACCTACGTGCGTGTCCTGCTCGTGCGGGGTCTGGCACAGGGCGTTGGGATGGCGGGGATGTTGGACTGTGCTGTGCTGGCGATGGTGAGGGGGTTTGCGGGGAGGCCGCTTGTTGTTGGGTTTGTGGTGGCGTGTGGGGCGTGGGGAGGGGCGTTGGTGTTTGGGGTTGTTGCGAGGGGGG